TATAGCTAACTAATCAAATTGTTGCTTATGGCAACACTTGGATTAAGGAAATTGAAACATGTGTTGATATCTGACGCCTCTACCCTATTTTCCATGACTATTTCTAAAGCTTGTTCGATCAATGGCTGTCTGCATGTTTGAGGGATGAAAAAGGTAATATGATTTTTAATGGTAAATTTCATTATTTAATTATCTTTTCACTCTCATCTTAATTATCAAAATATAAAATTTTTAATATAATTATCAAAACTTTAAATTATTTATGTTTTGATATTTTTTGTGAAAAGGATTATTTTTATTATAATAATTTAATACCAAATGTATTTTAAAATAAATACTTTTAAATTCAAAATCACAAACCCTATTTCATACCATTCAAACCTCTAATTCACCCTAAATAATATCCATTCAAATCCCAAACCTAAAATTTATACTCTAGATAACTAAAACCTACTCTTACACCCTATACTCTATATTACTGCCCTCATTACTTATTTATAGACTATGATCACTTATCCATTAGTTAGTAATTTTATATTCCCTAGTTTATAATTAGTAGGTAAGATTTGATGACTATAAGAGTTGAACTCAGTATAATTAAGAGGAATGAATCAAAGTTTCTACTTTAAAGAAAAAACAAAAACTCTTAAAAAGAATGAATCCAATTATGTATTAGAATTGGGAACTTGAGTGTGCGTGAAGTAATATAAAAGGTAAGTCTTTGCCTTCCTTTATCTTTAAGCTTGTTTGAAATTGTTGTGTGATGTTGCTTTGAAAAGAAAAAATTACAAGATTTTTTGTGAGTTATTTACGTCTGAAGGAGGACTTTTGTGTCGTCTTAAGAAATTAATTAGACTTTAGGTGGAGAGCATGAATTGTGTGAGGGTTAGGCAGATTAGTCATTCTTGATATAAGAATTGAAGATTGTGTGTTTTAAGTAATGGATGATTTGTGAATAATTCTTATACAATTTTCTTTAGTTTTTTTTTGGATATAATATAAGCATTTATCTAAAAAAATTCAAACTAACAAATAAAATTAATAATCAATAAGAAAAATAAAAGAGCATGTGAATCATATAAAAAATTGATCGAGCAATACAAATAGGTTAAGTGCTTATATCAATAGTGATAAATTAATCTTGAAATTTACAGAAAGAAAATCTAAAGAAATATCTAAATATGTCTAAAATTTTTTTATTCAAACATTAAATATAATAATCAAATGAAAATTAATCTGAAACAAATGATTGAAACCTTCACAATATTTGTAAATAGAGGAATATAATACAAAATATTAAAGAATATTAATTTAATAAGAATATACATTTTACAAGCGAGTAACGAATACAAACAACTTTAAATTTTATTTTAGGAATTTAAAAACAAATAATACAAACAACAAGTAGTTCATATTGATCTGTGTTGTATTAACAAACAACAAAACATCATTTTATATTTGCATATTATATTTACAGATAATAAATATCATTCAATATCAACTATCAGTTGGCTTAATATGATTAGATACTAGATCACTTAAGTAAAATCAAGAGTTCGAGTCCTGGTCATTGTGAATGGAGTAAATTGGGTTGGAATGATCGCCCTTGCCACTACAGTACCTGATCCGGATTAGTCAGTCAATAGATCTGATACCGGTGATTATACTAAATAAGTATCATTCAATATCACTTACCAAATAATATATTGGTCTTTATATTATGCTCAAATTTAAAATTTATTTTCCATACTTTAATTTAATATAATTTAATCATTTACTTTTTATAAGGTCATTCATCAACTAAAAATTTTAAGACTCTCTTAATAACATCCTTCTAATTCAAGTATCATTGATACATGAATGTATTTATATTGTGTTTTTATATTATTTTTCATGTCATATTTATATCTTTAGAGTATTAAAATTTTATATGAAATAAAATTCGTTTATACAATGTAAAACTTATTAATTTTATACAAAATTATGACCATTGAACGAATATAAATAAATGATTAAGATTAAAACAAAATTACCCATTTTAAGCTTCAATTATGAAATGTTTGAGAGCAAAAATAAAACATAAATGTTAGAAAAACTTAAATGAAATTATTAACATTTAAAAGGACTAAATATGCAAATTTACTCATAATTTAATTTATTTCACAATGTTTATACAAACAATGCATTGCATAGTGTTGACACCCGTTTTTGTCAGGATCTTAAAAAATATTATTATTATTATTATTATATTATTATTAATTATTTTAATTACATTTTTCATGTTACAACAAAAGACCTAAACAAGCCCAAACCCGAAGCCCACTCAGCAGACTCAATTACAAACCTACCAATCCAACAAATCAAGCCTAAACCAGATACAACCCGAAGCCCAGTACCATGCCCAAGGTCTAACCCAAATCCGACCTGAACCAACCTGTTTGTAACCCAAACAAATTAGGGTTTCTAAACCCTAATCAATAGTTGTCGCTGCCAATGTTTCAACTCCCATTGGCGCGTGGACTCCATCACTCGTTCCCCTCGCTGCGTGAGCCATCGCCGAGCACTCCTGAGTCGTCGCTAAATGTCCCACCGCCCGATGTTGTCATCAACAGTGACAGAGGCACCATCATTTAAAAGAAAACAATTCACTGTAGAAAAAAATAAAAATAAATGGAGAAGAAAATCAATGATATCCCGAGGAAATCCTAATCTGTCAAAAGCATATCTCAGTTGCAGCTTTATTTTGTATCAATCACCACCAAACCCACATGCAACATAAAAGCATAGAAGGAAAGAGAAAAGACACACAAGAAGGAGCCCAGAAAAAAAAACCCAGAGAACTATTTAGGAAAATATTAGAAGAGAAAAAACAGAGGAAAAACACGAAACAAGGGAGAGAGAAAAAGATCAAAAGGAAAATAGAAAGAGAGAAGCCCTTACATTTGATCGGAGGAACAGTGGGAAGCTTTAAGGTCGTCGAATCCTTGTTGTTTCGAATGGTAAACCTTTAGATCTAGGGAGCTAGGGTTATTTTTAGGCCAAACGGGATTGGGTTTCGAGTTGAGTAAGGTGAGAGAAGCATTCTGGGGGGAGGTCTCTCCGGCCACCGTGAGCGCCACCGGCGGTGGTGGTCTCTCTTTTTCCCGATGAGAGAGTTGAGAGAGTTCTTAAACCCTCTCTCTTTGTGTGTGTTTTTCAAAGCAAGGAGAAATGAGAGAATGAGAAAGAAAAGCCCATGTTTTGGGCTTATATTCCCCGATCGAAACAGTGTCGTTTGGATAGGGGTCTGAGTGTAAGTTTAGCGTATGGGTAAATCATGTAATGGGGTCTTGAGTTTTTGTAACCTTATGTTATAATCATTTGTTGTATTTTAATCATTTTATATTTTATGCATCACATTTATAACTCTTGTATCTTGGTCACTTGACTGTTTTGTTAATATTTTGTAAATTTAGACATTGTCATCGATGTTTGTGAAACTTACATTTTGGTCAATGTTCTATATTTTGGGTTAAATCCTGAATTTTTCCTTATGTTTTACTTTCATTATATTTTAGTCTTTAATAGTATTTATGGGTTATTTTCGTTTCCAGCACCTGTATTATTTAATTTATCTAATCTTGGCTCTGGTTTATTTGTAATTACTGTTTAGCCCTTCAAGTTTTTGCTAAGTACCATTTTGGTCCCTGAAATCACCTATGTGCTTATTTTTATTGTTTGTATTTTGGTTTGTAATGTTCACTTATTTTTATTTTAGTCATTTATGTATGAATATGTTTTGCATATTATGTAGTTATTTGTAATATATATATATATATATATATATATATTATTGACTCTATTTATTGTATATGTTTTATTTCACATATTTCCATTTGTGTTTGTTTCCATTGTATTTTTTTAGCTGTTAATATTATTCGAATAGTTTCGCGAACGATATTTGTAGAATGGGTGTGAAAAGTATCACTTGATCGAAGTAGTACAATCTGATACGACATTCGAACAAAATGGGAACTTGAAATAAATCTTGCTTATTTTTTTTTATCATTTTTTACGATTCAATGCGTTTTATGTAGCAATTTATTTTGTTTTACGCAAATGTTAATTTCCGGTTTGTATTTAATACGCATAATTATTGAGGAGAGAATATTCTTTACAGATAAGAAATAGACAAGATAACTTTCCCGATGGAGGATTGCAAATCTCGATATTTCTTTTTAAGTTAAAGAATTTTCTCTAACTAGTTAATTCAGAGCAAATTAATCACACTTTAATAAATGGATAATATTTTTACTTTATATTTGATTCATACTTTCTACCATTTACGACAACGTGTAAGAGATTCAGTACCAGTTTTTGGGCGCTGTGGGGTTGCTTATCCTTCCCCACGTGTAATCGACTCCCGGACCCGTTAAAATCGAGTTTTTGGTAAACACATACTAATTTTTGTCTTAAAAAATAATTTTTCCTTAAAATTGTTTTAAAAGACGTTTTTAGTTATTCGACCTACTTAACCCAAAGGTCGATGGCGACTCTTTTCAATTTAATTCAAACTAATTCATAAATCATCAAATTTTTTCAAAGTCATAATTATTTTTAAACTTAATTATTTTTTTAAAAAATGGTTATGACACATAGGATTAGTTGCAATAGGCAAAACCATTAGCAAACAATCAAGTGATGCTAGATTTGGCCTACACATATCAAGATATATTATCATCTCCATAATGACTCCAAACAAAAAACATGTGTTTACAGTTTCTACTCGTATTTTCTTTAACCGCTTTTATCGAATTGAGTTCGTATTAATGATTTACTCGTGATTCAGAGCATCTTTATTGTTGATATGATACAATTTTCTGCCAACTCCTTAAACTCTTAACGCATCCTAAAACCCATGCCTATGCCTTTTTCATTTGTGCAAAAAACCAGTTGGAGTTCCCTCACGCATTCCGGCATCGATGGTCGCTCTCCGCTCTTGACACGGACGCAGCGGGATGCCATGTTCGCGAACATAGCGATGGATTCGATGGTGTACGAATTCTGAGCCATCTCTGGATCGATCACCTTCTGTAACTTCTTCCGATCATTTAATATGTGTCTAACCTAAAACATGTATCATCCACTTATTAATTTATTCTCAATAAGTGTTAGATACAAATAATTTTAGGGTAAACTATGCATTTAGTACGTAAACTATCCATTTTGATCTGTTGTAGTATCTAAACTTTCAATTTTTTCAAAATCATACATATCGTTTAGTTTTTGTTTCATTTTAGTATCCGCCGTTAAAAACTTAACGCATTTAGTATATAAATTATCAGTTGTGGTCGGTTTTAATACCTAAACTTTTAAAAAAAATCAAAAATTAATGTTAAATTTTGAACAGATACTAAAACGAAAAAAAAACTAAACTTTAAATATAGTTTTAAAAAAATTGAAAGTTTAATTACTGAAACAAACTAAAATTAAGATTTTAGGTACTAAACTCATAAATTACCCATAAATTTGAAGAGAAATGAAGAAAAGGAAGAACGTTAAGTTACTTGGAGGACAAGATTTTGATCATTCGGTTCTTGGTTTATGTCAACAGCTCGGCGTCCGGTTAAAAGCTCTAAGAGAACCACTCCGAACGCATAAACATCGCTTCGTAAAGTTAATTTCCCCGTCTGTCGTCGAAGATAAATGAAAAACACGATTATTTAGGAAAGGAAATTTAAATAAATAAAATATAGGATAAAGTATACAAATGATCCTTTGATGGTTAAAAGTTATAAAATAGTCATCTGATCATAGAGTGTTGTTTTGTTGAGTCCCTCAACTATAAAAAGTTACAAAATGATCACCTGACTATTCATTATATTTCAAATTCATCCTTTTCCGTTAGAAAATTGACGACATCCTTAGCTGAATGTTAATATGTTGCTTGTGATATGATAAAACCCGATCCAAGAATCTCAAACGACTATTATATCTCAGCCATCATGTTAATATCCAGCTTAGACGAGGTTAAATTTTTTAATGAAAAATGACGAGTTTGGAATATAATGAATAGTCGGGTGACCATTTTATAACTTTTAATAGTCGATAGACTTAATAAAATAATATCATATAGTTAGGACCATTTTTATATTTTATCCTAAAATATATGACAATTTTTAATCACAATTATAAAATTGACGAAAAATACGTACCGAAGTGTATTCGGGGATCGAAATAGCCAAATGTACCAAGAACTCTGGCTGTCACATAAATGTCATGACCCTCTGGCATCAGTTTGGCTAATCCAAAATCAGATATCTGTGGGAAAAATAGCAATATTGGGTCTTAGTTTTACATTAAAAGTATTCAATGGAATTAAAAGAAGTGACCTAATTTGTTAATTGGGTAAATTACACATTTAGTGCCTAAATTATTAGTTTTGATTTATTTTAGTACCTAAACTTTTAACTTTTTTAGAACCATACCTAAAGTTTAGTTTTTGTTTCATTTTAGCAACTTGCCGTTAAAACCTTTAGGGTGCGTTTGGTTCATGGAATGAAAGATAAACAATGGGAATGTAAGATTACCAGTGAATAAGATTACTGGGAATGTTGTATTTTGTGTTTGGTTGGCTTCGCAGGAATGTAAGATTACCGTGTTTGGTTAAAAGAATAAAAGATTATTGGAATGTATATTTAACCAAATTGTCTTTATTATATATTTGTTTTTTTAACAAGGTGGAAAATATTTATATATTTTCTTTAAAAAATTAAATTCATAAAATTTATATAATTTTTTTTACAAAATTGAAAATATAAAAAGGTTTAATGAAATGGTAAAATTTTATTTTAACCCCTGAACTTCATATAAAATTTTAATTATAGATTTTTTTGTAAATCTAAAATAATTTAAGGATAAATTTGTAATTTAACATTCGTAGAATTTTTATTATTCAATGACAGAAAAAATATATTTAAAAAAAATTTAAGGGCATTTTAGTCCAAAACGCCGGGAATCCAACAATACCTAAGGAAATGGAGGTAATGACATTCCCAGTAATATACCCAAAAAAATCCACTATTGGTAATCTTACATTACCCCCGGGCTAACCAAACAGGGGAATGTAGATTTCATTCCCATGGGAATCCCACATTCCTCCATCCAAACACCCTCTTAGTTTTTGTTTCATTTTAGTACACCTTTCAAAATTTAACATTAAATTTTGAAAAAATTGAAAGTTTATGTACTAAGGCGGACCAAAGTTGATAGTTTGGGTACTAAACGCGTTAAGTTTTTAACGGCATGGTACTAAAATGAAACAAAAACTCAATTTTAGGTATGATTTAAAAAAAAGTTTAAGTACAAAACAGTCTAAAACTAATAGTTTAAGTACTACATGCGTTCTTTATTCTTGTTAATTATAAAAGATCAATTTATAGTTTTATGAAATGAAAATTTGTGACAAAGGCAAAAATTGATGGTTGACTAAAATATAAATTATTATTATAGTTATATTAATTCGTCTTTAGGTTATAATAAATTATTTTTTTATTAATATAATAAATTATTTTAATATAGTAATCAAGGACAAAGCTATGGGAAAGGAGAAGGGGTCATAACCTCCAAGGAAAAATAGGTTTAATTGTTTTCTTGATCCTTCTAATTATAAAGCTAGACAAATTAAATTTTGTCCTCTAATTTCTTTTATTCGATTGTTTTTTGGTCCTCTTAATTTTGAAAATACGTGAATTAGATCCTAGCACCCTTTTGGATATAATTGCTTTATAGGTCCCTCTTAATTTTGAAACTATGTGAATTAGATCTAGCCCCTTTCGAGTACGATTACTTTTTAGGTCCTCTTAGGTTTGAAACTAGACATATTAAACCTTGGCCTATATTTTTTTTGGTTTAAATACTTTTAGGTCCTTTCAATTTCAAAATTAAATAAATTTGATCCTATACTTCTATTTCTTAATTTTAAATTGATAGCTTATCAATTAGACTCTAACCATCATTTTACTTTATTTATATTTATCACCCTAAAGTTTTACCCTAGTTCTGTCCCCGAATACTTTTCCGGTTATTTTCAATTCGACCCAACCGATTCAATCTAATTTCTTAACCAAACATATTTACAACTTAAATTATCAAAATTCATGCGAAAGTAGCTAAGATTGACTTACCTTGGCTTCAAAGTTGGCATTGAGAAGAGCATTGGTAGACTTGAAATCCCTATGAACAATAGGGATCCCAACAGCAGAACTGGAATGTAAATAAGCAAGCCCTCTAGCTGCTCCGATGGCCACCTTCAGCCTCGAAGGCCAATCCATCTTCGTTTCACCGATACCTATTCAAACCGATTTCAAAGTCGATACGTATATGTTGTGATTCTATGTGGGATTTGATTAAAAAAAATTCAACTCCAAAAACTCTACCATTTAGATGATCTTGCAGGTTCCCTTTCTGCATGTATTCGTAGACTAGAAACCGGTGTTTTCCGTCTGCACAGTAACCTATCAATGACACCAGATTCGGGTGGTAAAGTCGGCTTAAGATATCGACTTCTACGCGAAACTCGCGTTCTCCGTCGGCTTCTTTGAATGCCGGAAGATCCATCTTCTTGATTGCAACAACCTTCGGAATGCAAGAAAAAGGTGAAATTTGTATTATTTTTTTTTCTGTCAATCTTTACGGTCAAATATAAAGAGTAAAAGAAAGATGGTCATAGCTAGGATAAAAAAGGGTAAACTACACGTTTGACAACTGAATTTTACTCTTTTTCTATTTCACTTATTGTACTTTCAATTTACTAACTCAACTTTATTGACTAAATTTTTTTTTCACTCTGCCGTTAAATAATTAACAACATTATGACATGGTTGTATTTTAATCAAAACAATGACATTTTAGTCTAAAATTTATTTTTTTATGAAATCTAAACGACGTCGTTTTGATGTAAGTTGCAATGTCTTAATGTCGTTTAATTATTTAACGGCAGAGTGACAAAAAAATTAATCTATAAAATTCAGTGAATAAATTAAAAAAATTGATAGTATAATGGGTGAAATAAGAGAGAGAATAAAGCTCAGTTACCAAACGTGTAATTTACCCATAAAAAACTCATCCAACAAATTTTTTTGGTAAACTACATGTTTAGTATTTAAACTATCAGTTTTTATCCATTTTAGTACCTAAACTTTCAAATTTTTTAAAATCATATCTAACGTTTAGTTTTTGTTTCATTTTAGTACCTGTCGTTAAAAACTTGATGCATTTAGTATCTAAACTATCAATTTTAGTATGTTTTAGTACCTAAAATTTCAAAAAAAATTCCAAAACTTAATGCTAAATTTTGAACGGGATACTAAAATGAAACAAAAACAAAACTTTAGGCATAATTTTAAAAATTAAAATTTAAGTACTAAAAAAATCAAAACTTATAATTGTTTTTTAAAAAATCATGTCGTATTTTATCCAAAATAATTATTAATACTTAAACCAAGTTTATAAATACCTCTCCTGATCGAAGAGTGCCCTTATAAACTCGGCCAAACCCTCCTTTCCCAAGCAGATTCTCATCACTGAAACAACGCGTCGCTTCCTCCATCTCCTTGAGCGTGAACACCGATGATCCCTGTCGTCTCTTTCCTGGCCTGGGAATCTGATTCTCCTCAATCTGCCAGCACTCAACCGGCTTATAAACCCCTGAAAAAGAAGGCATGCAACATAGTTTGGAGCCTAAAAACACAGACCCATCGTCTGATTACACCCCATGAACATAATCATCAACATACACATATGCATCGCATGAAGTAAAACAACGTACATGGGTCGGTATGATCCTGAGATTTGCTTCTCCGTCGCTTGTTCCAAGCCGAAACTAACCCGAAAGGCATCGTTTTAAGCTTCCTCGGATCGATCCTTCGTGCTGATGACCAGACAGATTATATTACATCACACGGGCAATATGTCGAACAGTTGGGCTGCATGAGTTTGGTTACGAAGAACAGGTGAAAAAAGAGATCAAATTCTTAGCCTGATGCTGGAGAAGAATATATGAAGGAATGGGAAGAGATATTCGAGGAATCTGCTCGTATAGAGTACGTGTTAAGCAATTGAGGTTAGATTTAGAAACTACTCAAACAGCACAGCAACAGCGAACAGAGATGTACTTGAAGGAAAAGAAAATGCTGTTGAAAGGAAACATAGAATTTGGTATTTCTTCCCCTACCTAAATTTGATTACAACCCATAATTCCAAATCCGATCGATTTGATCGTATAATTTTAGGTAAACCACGTATTTAATATATAAATTATCAGTTTTAATTTGTTTTAATATCTAAATTTTAATTTTTTTCAAAACATACCTTACATGTTTTTTTTTTCATTTTAGTACCCGCCGTTAAAAACTTAACAGACGGTTGACGGGGTATAGTTTTAGTGGACGGATGACAAATTTGAACGATGGACCATGAGAGAATGATGAGTCGACCAACATAGTCAAATTTCATTCCCATCAAACTATTGACGACAGAGATTGGAGATGAAGAAGTCGAAGAGTCCATCATCGATTTGGAGAGATTGAGATTTTCCGATGAAACGAAGGGTTAAAAAGGTGTGGGTGGAAAAGTTTGGGCTTCATCAATCGACGAATGCGATGGTCGGCGACAGTAGACGTGACAACCGACGAATCCGTCCGTTAAGTTTTTATGGTGGATACTAAAATGAAACAAAAATTAAAAGTTAGGCATGATTTTGAAAAAATTAAAAGTTTAAGTACTAAAATAAATCAAAATTAATAATTTAAGTACTAAATTCATAATTTACCCTAATTATATGAAATATATATATATATATATCCAACGAACATAATACTCGAGTCAATGACAAATCTTGGTAACATGTTTTGGGGTGGTTAAATTTTCAAAAAGTGTGTGATTAATGAGAACTTTCAAAAGTTATAGGAGATAAATTACTAAAATTTTAGAAAAATTAAAACATAAAAAAATTAATATTTTGAAGGGGCCAAAATATATTTTAATTTTTTTAAAGGATTAAATGTTAATTTTCCAAGAAAATAGGAGGTAGAGCCTCTGTCCACTCCTAATCTAAGTATAAATTTTAAACCATAAAATCTAATTATAAGATATTACTTTTTAGTCTCTCAACTATTAAAAGTTTAAAATGGCCACCCGACTATTCATTGTGTTCCAAAGTCGTCATTTTTTGTTAAAAATTGATAGTAGCTTGAGTTAGACGCTGACTTGCTGTCTATGATATGATAGTTGTTTGAGATTCTGAGATCATATTATATCATATATCAATCAACAAGTTAACGTCCAACTCGAATTGCGTTATCATTTTATAACTTTTCATAATCAAGGGATTTAAAAAAGAACAATCGGGAGATCATTTTGTAATTTTTAATAAACAAAGACTCGATAAAATAATACTTATAGTCAGGGACCATTTAGGTACTTTACCCTAAAATCTAACTTATTGATGTTTTACCATTTATACGAGTATACAAGTGTACACAACTATAACATTTAAAATAATGAAAACACAACAAATACATGATGGCTGTGTTTTATTTTTAAAGGTGATTGAGATGTGAGAGTAGCCGTTGAGAGGGTGCTTTCGGTCATTTGCTCTGGTGCTAAAGTTGTATGATTATTTATTTTGAAAAGGACAAGAGATGGGTCTCTAATTATGTCATTTTAACCCTAATGTGGACCTTAAGATTTCAATGAATTCTTTCATGTCTGCATTCAGAATACAACAGTTTAGGATAACAAAATGGATTTTTACAGCACTTTCGATTAGGGAGCTTATCGAGCGAGTCGATCGTTAGTTGGGCAGTGCTTTACTCGTGCTCGTTAAAAAAAATTATTGCTCAACTCGACTCGTGCTTGTTAAGTTCGTTAAAATTTTACTCGACTCGTGCTCGTTAAAAAATTTGTTGCTCAACTCGTTCTTGTAAGTTCGTTAAGTCCGTTGCTCGTCTTATTGCTTGTTAAGCTCAACAAAATTTTTATCTTATTTTTTTAACATTAGATAAAATCTACTAATATTATATAGAGCTTAATATAAATTAATAAATTTAACAAAAAAATTATTAAAAGAGTGTATAAAACAAATTGAAAGTCTAAACTCCAAAATAACAATCCACAATTACATTAAAATAATAATTAGGGTTTGATTTTTGGGTGTAGTAAAATAATATTAATTTAATATTTTAATTATTTATTAGAAAAATAATAGATTAGTCATTTATTAACTATTAGTAATTTTTTGAATAAAATAATATTTTAAGATAACTACTAAAAAATTATAAAAAAATTAACGAGTTGCTCGTGAACTTGTCAAGTCGAGTTGGAGTTTGTTCGACTCAACTCGTTAAGGTCTCGAGCCAAGCTCGAGTTCGAGTTGAGTCAATTTAAGTCGAGCTTTTATCGAATTTTGACCAAGTCGAGTTCGAGTTGCTCACGAGATGTCAACTCATTAAGCACCTCTACTTTCAATGGTGGTGGATATGAGTGTTTATTAGTGATATTGCAGGAGTTGCAACATCTCTCACACGACTAGGAACTGAGCCAGGATCAAATATTAGGAGGAGCAAGGTACTTAATTTCAAAATAGTAAGGACTTATTATGTATTTAATTTAAAATTTTGGGGGACAAAAGTATAATTTTACTTAAATTTAAACTGGTAAGACCTAAAATGCTATTAAATCAAAAATTTTGGAGGGACAATAGCCCTCCCACTCCCTATAGAGCTCTATCCCTACACACGACACCCTATTTTGGATGGCAGTCAGAAAGGAAGAGGTTGATCGGAGACAGGAACGGAACCAGGATCAAATGTTAAGGGGCAATAATAGTTTTATATCAGAAGAACAATAATCTATTAAGTATTTAAAACTAAAATTTGAGGGACAAAGGCTTGTTCAACTAATATTTAAACTAAAAAAACCTAAAATATTATTATACTAAAATTTTGGGAGGTGTTGGCTCTCCCAGGCACCATGTAGATCTGTCCCTGGTTGGAGAGGCCGATGAGGGTGAGGGTGACGGTGGTGTTGTGCTTTGGGATTTTGGAGAATATATTTTTGATTTAAATACAATTTTAAAATTTTAATTTAATTAATATTATTTTAATCATATATTAATAAAATAATAAATGACGCATCATACATAAATATTAATAAAATAAGTCATGATGATTAACATATGAGAATTTCAAAAATTGAGTGATTAAATTGATTTTTTTTAAAGTTTAGTATGAATGTGCAATTTACCCAATTTATAAATCCAAAAGGCACTAGCATTGGCCTGCTTGATGCCACATCAGTAGGAATTAACAGAACCGTTGATCAATGACGGAAAACATTGATTAAAGGGCTATCTTTTTGAAAGTACGAGGATTACGGGTGTCATTTTGCCGTTTTTATTTAACTTGAACCAAAGAAAAAAATTAATGTACGGATTATTATCACATACAATGACCATGGTTCACGAACGCTCATTTCATTTGTGAACGAAACTTTGGTGACAATAAAATCCAAAATTTAAATCAATTGATTATATAATCATCTACCAAGTTTAGAGTTTGACTCTCAACATTTACAATAATACTTTCTCTACCCCAAATTTATCTCTGTTGTGTATTTTATAGCCATGATGGAAACTCGAATTCGATTGGAAGCAAATATTGTGACGATCATAGGTGTTGTCACCGTCAGCGGCGGTTTTCAGCATAGCTTCGCGCTTCCTGTCTTGCTCTTGAACTGCCCCGAAAACGACCTCGTTGGTTTTCTCATGGCTCTGCTCATAGTAAGTATGCGGGGCGGATGATTGATAGCGATGCTGCTTCTGGAGGTGATCCTGATGCTGCACATCGGCATCCCATCCGTGGTAGAAGACCCGACTTTGACACAACTGATGGATCTTTTCTGCATCTTTGGACATGAAAGGATATGTCTTCCGCGGAGTGGGGGGCTCGTCTTTGTCCGGTATCACGTTGCTCTCTTGTGCAGGCCAATGCGTCGAATGCATCGGTTGTTGAGGTCGTGGGCTCAGTGACTTCTTTCTAAAACCAGGAAATACTCCTCCCATGATTTGAGAACCGACACTCCGCCGTTGAGAACAAGCTTCCGAAGGGCCAATGAAGCCTTCTTCTTGCCTCTCGTGTTCATCTTCTGTTGGAGTTAAAGGTGGCCTGACGGATTTCACGGGCTTCTGATTCGGACTCGATACAGCAGCATTCACTTGAACTGAACCCTGATCCATGGAATTAAACATTTCATTTCAGTGGTGAATTGTGCAATGAGAACTAAGTTACCTGGAATCGAGTACGAGTGTCGGATACCAGTATACGCAGCTACAGAAAATACTTTTACATGCAACGTTCGGGCAAAGCAGAAGAGTATATAAATAGTAACGCCGAACATTCACATTTTGGGACGATACGATGGTGCCCACTCTACGTTGCAGCAGAGCTAGCATGTAACCGAAGAATCCAGCCGCAATGAGTACAGCGATTCCTGGAACAAAAGAAAATCGAGTGTAAAGCTCCAATACCGACAATAAATGAAGATCGACTCGAGGGGATCAACTTACCGAGAGGAAAACCACTTCCGTACTGATAGGCACAGTCGTCGAAATGTAGTTGAATCTCTCTGATTGCTCGATTTCCTCTATCTATAACGAGAAGGGAGCAACTGCTTCCGACATAGACCACATCAAAATCATCAGAAAACTTTGCATCTTCACTTGGTCTGTCTACATGTCCCCCTCCAAGGCTCAATTTTCCACCAGCAATTGTCGTAACACCTGAAGACGATTCCGCTCGTATCAACAACATATGATGGCTGCTAATCTCACCGAAGGATTCTCGTTCACACTTTTAAAAAAAGAACATAGGATACGGATAACTCGGTGATTACATTGCTAACCTGCATCACTTATCTTCCTTATTGCCATGTTCATAGTGTCTGCAATATAAATGTTCCCTCTGTCATCTACAGCTAACCCTTTAGGATGGTTCATCCTCGCCTCTCGGGACTTCCCATCTATGTGTCCGGGGTATCCTTCTGGAGATCCCGCAACCAGCCGTGGTCTAGTATCTGCAGTTCTCCCATAAAACAATCACAATAAAAGAGTTTCTCAGGGAAAAATCAAATCATAGCACAACTATAGAATTGCATCAGTGAATACTTATATCTTTACTTGTGATCGATCTTACCAGACGTTTTAACCATGCACTAAGCCGATTAAGAGTAACACGGACCAAGCGAAATTCGCTTAAGAATCACAGTGAATAAATAAAGCATGAAAAACTAAGAATAACATTGAGCAATAGCACAACAAGTTGAGGTAGTTGAGGTTCCATTAACTCACAGATCTATTCGTTTCCATCTTATTTGCAGCAAAAGGCAAAACCTAAGTTGCTCCGACTCTTCGTTTTGCCTCGATACACCCATCTACGGCACTCGTTTCCGATGCATATATCGACATGGATATAGAGATATGATCCTCCAAATACAAATTGAACAAATCTATGTACAGGGCAATACTAGTATTGACACAATACATAGTCCTTATAACTATGATGAAATTTAAGGTTTAACCCCTATATCTTAATTTGTCATAATTTAGTCCCTATGCTTTTATAATGTTATTAGTAGATCCAAACCGATATCACTGGTAACCGCTACCGTTAAACCGATGAAATGAAATTTTCTTAACTATCATCCAAGCACACAATCAAGGCCATCGTGAAAATCCAATCAATCAAGTCCAACCGATAATATAACACAACCGAATTAGGATAAATCAAAGTATTTCGATTAAATTCAGAATTTTATCATAGTAAAGAGACTAGGATCGTAATTCGACCGAGATAATCTCACAAAGAAATAAGAAATTCACTTACACAAAGATAAAGAAGCAGAAATCCTATACAAGTTGCTATTAGCGGAGTCCAAAATCAGAAGCTCCCATTAGGCAAAACCTCAACAGTGTGCGGCTCAATCCCAAGCTTACTTCCATCAAACACAGTCTCCACAGTGTATCCACTCTCGAACTTCACCATTGAACGCCCAGTAATGGCTGTAAACACATAAATCACATGCAAATCACCCTATCGACACCAAAAACAGAAAGAAAATGTAGGTTCTAATAGTAAAGAGATCTACAAAAAAAAAAAGACCTGTATAAGTTGTAGTTTTGAGTGACCATAGCCATTTCATGGAAGCAGACAAAGATTTAGAGAAAACCCCATAAAGGATCTCTGCAAGAACAATGTAAAATCAAAGGACTTAAGCTGTAAATTATGATCAGATCAAAGAAAAGAAAGCAAGCTTTTTTTGGAAATTGCTTACTTGCTGGTGAAGAACTAGTGGGAGCTGAGCTGACACTGACACAGGAGTAACTTAGCCTTAGGTTCAGAGTTCAAGGTAAATGTAATGAATCATGTGTTATTGTGGTAGTGCAAATTATATCATTGTTGTTTGGGTATGTTTAGGATATTTCAGGTTATTTTAATGAATCCTTTGTCATTGGAATCTTATCAAGGGCTACAATAGATTCTTGATTTATGGTTTAAGGTTTAGCGAAGGTTAAACTAATGCAATAATAATAATAATAATAATAATAATAATAATAATAATGACGAAATGATAAATTGAACTTATTTATATAAACAACATTGACCTTTAAGCCCCCCACGACAATTCCACGAGCCTATTATCCATTCTTATTTGATCACGACGGGTGAGAAAGGCAAAATAAAAATACTCACATTGGATTTAGGGATAATCATGTTCGAACTGATGACTTCCATCATGTCAATGTGACACTCTACCGTTGAGTTATATCCCTTCCTTGCCTCATCAAGAAATAGAATTGACTAATCCTAAGTCAAAGGATCAAGAAACTCAATGTCACTATTCTTGAACAACTTGGAGCAATGCTTTCCTTTCGCACTATTACGGATTGTAAATAGAAAAGAATTAATCGAGAAAGATTGAAAAATTAAGAATAGAAAATTCCATTAACTTTGTAATATCTTGATGTTTTTATTGCTCCCTTTCAATCATTCAATCAAAAGAGCGAAGAGACAGTGAATCAGAAACGATTAATTAAGAAAGAATAAGAAATTTTTTTATGGAGCATGCATATCAATATTCACCTTTTGTGCTTCTTCCCATTCGTAAAATAGCTCCATTGAGTCCCGTATCAATTATAAAACCAATTCCTATAATTATGAAACCCATATGAGATACGGAGTAATAGGCTATTTTTTTTTTTAATTCCGTTGACCAAGAAATGTTGAAGTTGCATAAATTATTTGTATTGTACTCACTATTATCAACCAGGGGAAATATGGAATGAGCATGGGGTAATAATTCCATATTGATACGAATTAATCCATATGCTCCCATTTTAAATAAAATTTTGGCTAGAAACATACAAGTACTGTAATGGGCCTCCCCATGGGTATCTAATAACCACGTATGTAAGGGCATAATCAGTGATTTGACAGCAAAAAAAAATAAGAAATCCAATTATAAAAATGAAAAGGTTAATATCTAAATCATATGCATAAATTATCTACCACTTGTGGTTTAAGGGTGCATGAAATCTTTAAATTTTACTGGTGCATGAAGTCTTTTAAGTTTTACTCGTAAAGTCTGGATAAAATGGTCCAAAAATCGATTGAATGAATATAGGTAGCAGCACGAATCGAGCAATCTTGAATGATTAAAGGATTTGCTATTATCACTGAAGTCTCGGATTCGAACACTACATATACAAAAACATAAATATTTATTATAAAATGATCAATAATCTTTGAACATGTATTATCTTATAAATCATCAACGTCAAACAATCGATAACTACGTTACCTCCTCATCCAACATGATTGATCATCACCTCCAATATTTTAGTTCTTATTATTCTCCCTCCACGTTATTTTCATAACATCTAAAGCAAATCATAATGTCAGTCCATAAGGGAACTACACATATATTAATTTTTTGGGTAAAATACACAAATGGTCCCATGATTAGAAGGCATTGTTTTATTAAGTCCTTCGACTATTGAAAGTTACAAAATAACCCCCAACTATAGGATGTTGCTTTTTTGAATCCCCTGACTATTAAAAGCTACAAGATGGTCACATGACTATTCATCGTGTTCCAAACTCGTCATTTTAGCTAAAAAATTACTGGCAATTTTGAGTTGTACATTAATCTGCTGACTGAGATATGATAAAATCTGATCCAAAATCTCAAACAGACTATCATATCATAGTCAACATGTTAACTTCCAACTTAGATTGTCATCATTTTTAATGAAAAATGACGAGTTTGAAACATAATGAATAGTTGGGTGACCATTTTGTAACTTTTAATAGTCGATGGACTAAAAAGCAACATTCTCTAGTCGAGGGATTATTTTGTAACTTTTAATAGTCTAGAGACTCAATAAAACACCGCTCTATAATCAAGGGATCATTTGTATACCTTACCCTAATTTTTTATATAAAATACTATAAACTAAGGCATGTAAAGAGGAAATAAATGATATTTATCATTGTGAAGTTAAGAGTTTTGATATTGCACCAAAAAAGAAAAACAAAACATTCTCCATTCCAATACTCTATCAATTACATTAGATGCTTGTTCTGCTACAAGGATCAATAGTTGATGAACCGACAATATAATTTTATGCACCGTCAATGAAATCAAAAGATCAAACATCATCATATTATCATCTGATTTATTGACATTACATAAAATTATATATTATTAATGTATTAATTAAACATTTACTCCGTACGATATTAGAGAATAACATTAATATTTAAACATGATGTATTTAATATTTTCAGAGAGGACGTCTGTCCCATCCATCCTTCGATCCATCCATATATATATTTTCAACATATTAAACTCTTCAACCTCTCATGCACACTTGAAGTTGCAATACCAATTCTAGGATAGATAGCCTGCAAAACAAGGATTTAAATGGCAAAACCTATGAGATTCATTTTTGACAAAGCTTTCGCATATTATATATATAAGGATCGGACAAGAAAAAGAAAGTTTGCATGCATTATATCACACAGATAACATTAGTTATATAATTATATATATATATATATATATATATATATTTAGGATTCACTTACGCTATGTAAAATTAATAAATTTTATATTAATTTATGATCATTTAAATAGATAAATAAACTTAAATTTAATTGAATTTATAACTCATAAATAAATATTTCTTTAACTCGCAATAAAATACTATTTTTTCTTTTTAGGCTTTAAGATTTAAGATTTAAGTTTTAGAATTTAGGGTTTATGATATGAGGTTTAGTGTTTATGATGAGTTAAGAGTTCATGATTTTAGATTTTAAAATTTAAGGTTTAGGGTTTGAGATTAAGATAAAAAGAGGTATTTGACAACACTTAATATTAATTCCTTATGGAAACTTACCCCTTTAAAAAAAACAACTAATTGTGATTATTTTATCAAACTTTTTAACTCAATCTTTATGAAAACATTAATATGAGGTGCATAGTCACTCAAATACACTATCATAGTATATATATATATGTTATATTAACAAGGACGGACTTAACATTTTATGTTATGAGAATGAAATTATATAAAATTTTAAGGACATATCTATAAAGTTTTAGGTGATTAAAATAAATTATCAATAGAAAATACAAAGAAAATATCTAAAATATATGAGAAATTGAAATTTTCAGAGGGACGTCTGCCCCACCCGACCCGTCGGTCCATCCATATATATATATATATATAACATGGATTAATATTGAGGTTTTCATGAAGATTAGGTTAAAATGTTTGATAAAATAATCTCAAGTAGTTTTTTGAAAAAAATATTTTTATATATATATAGTGAACAAGGAAAGGAGGGTTGCATGCACATGATCTCAAGCTGAGACAATGAATTGCAGAGTTTGTGAAATCTTTTTAACCAAATCTTTATGAAAACCTTAATATGCATGCATGCATTCATGTGTGTGCATGTACCTGAGAAAGGATTGTGTATATTGCCCTATCTCCAACATGATGGCAAGTTGCACTTAAGATATCAGCTCCTTCTTCTTGAAGAATATTGATGAAATCAGACAATGCAAACCCCATATCCAACCCTATGATCAAATTCACTTCCAAATTCGAATCCCAATCCCTAAAACTAACAACCGGCCTTATCATCCTCCTCTTCCTCACTTCACAAGCAGCCTCCAATCGCGCCTTCGCCCCCTCGTATTGCTCCAAGCAGCCTCCTTCTCCCCCTCCCACCGTTCAAGAGGCCACTGTCATCGTTGAAGAGGTCCCTCCCACCATTCAAGAGCCCGATTCACATGGCGTCATATGTAAGATTCTTGAGAAACCCTCTGACGTGCCGGACATGATGGATTCAAGTTGGCTCTCGTATGAGTTACCGGCCAGTACCATACCAGTATCTGAAGTGGAGAGGAGACAACTACCAGACACAATTCTGGATAACACCCTTTGGGCTAAGACCGCAGTTGATTTTTATCTACATGAGAGGAGCCAGGGGTGTTTCACTGACATATACAAGCTCAACGATGATATCTATTTGTTACTTGATCGGTCTTGGTGGGGCGTATTATTAGGGGTCGAAGACAATGGCTATTTCGATGGAGGGGTAAGTCTTATATTTTTCTTATATTTCAATTTGATTATTTTTTTTAAATTTATGTAAGTTACTAATATATGTCTTTTTTTGTAAAACAGTATATTGATGCGTGGGTGTCACGTCTTCTAATAATTAGGAAACTTAAGGAAAATAAAAGAAATATACAATTATGTCGACGTCTTTTAACGCCGTTCACTTGAAGAATCAACGAGATGAATCATTTGCGTTGGACAATGGACAAGCTAAACTTTATCCTGCATGGTGGGAGGTCGATAAGGTTAGTATTTATTTTAGATTGAGTTTAAAGGTATTCATAAATAAGTGCGCAAATGAATGAATTATTACTTATGATTGCAGGTGTTTATCCCTGTTTTGGAACGTAAACATTGGCTTCTCGTCGAGCTTCAGCTCCCATCCCTTAAGGCAATAGTATATGTCATCATGATAAATTACATATCATTGGCTGATTTAAGAGATATTATTAAGGGATGGAGCTCTCATTTGGCTAAATTCTTGGATGCGATAAATTATTGGACTCGTTCTGGAAACAAGAAGCCAAAGAAGCTCAATATTACAATTAGCAGAGACGAGACCGCACCACAATAAACGAAAGGACCCAGAGGGGATTGTGGTCCTCTCGTACGCTTGGCATTGGAGCGTTTGATCACAGAAAGTATAAAGTATCTACCTCCCACCGATAGAGATAGAGCTGCAGTAGGCTTGTGGTTTCGGCATTATATGGCTAGATCGATATATACGAGACACTGCCTACCTGCATCCACGTTATAAAAATGTCCATAAACAATTGGTAAGTTTATAGGCTTGTGGTTTGAAAATGTTTGGTTAAGTACCTAGAATTCAATAATTTGTTGTTTGTAGGTTTAGATGTGTAGAAAGTGTTGTTTGAGCAAATGTTTGGTTTCTGCAGGTTAATCTCAGAAGTGAGCTGCGTGAAAATGATGTATGGTTGCAAAAGTTGATTCAATAGTAGATGAGGAAATAAGAATTATTGCTTATTTTTTGATTGTTTAATTGATTTGTAAAAGATGATTTGTAAAAGTTGATTTGTTTAATTGATGTGAACATAATTCTTATTTGTGCTTGTTTAATTGATTGAAATGTAATGGTTGATTTTGTTGATTTCAATCTGCATTATGTTGAAGGGCAAAAATGACTATCGCAATGCGAAATGAAAATCGCAACGCGAAATAAAAATCGCAACGACAAAATCGCAACGCGAAACTAAATTCGCGTTGCGATTTTCATTTCGCTTTGCGATTCCCTCGTTGCGATTTTCATTTCGCATTGCAATTCTCTCGTTGCGATTTTCATTTCGCATTGCGATTCTCTCGTTGCGATTTTCATTTCGCATTGCGATAGTCATTTCCGCGTTGCGATAGACATTAAGATGATTGCGAACGTCATTTCCGTGTTGCGATAGTCAAATGAATGCCTAATAAGTGATAACAACTGAACAGATCATAGCAATTTTCAAACTCAAGTTACTAATACATGCCTAACTGAAAATGTTAAAAGTTCACACATAAAATCCACATAATACAATGTTTGCATTTAAAAATCACCTAAGTTAACAGTCCCAAAAAGTGAAGCCGATTGTGATTGGGATTTTAAAGATGATTGGGATTTTAAAGATGATTGCGATTTTGATTGCCTTTTGCTTGACACCATATGAGCTTTGGATTTTGATGAGGATCCATATTTTGGTAGAGGAAAAGATGATTGTGATGGCACTGGTGATCCACATGTCAACCTTGTATGACCACTTTCCTTGCACCGACTACATGTCGATCTCTTCTTCTCTTCACCCTTAGACGGTATACGATCATGACTTTTTGGTCGGCTAGGTAGCCTTCTGTCCATGGCTGGTGGCAAAACTGTTTGTAAGTCATCTGGTATGTCCCACTCAAAAGGATGTGGAATAGGGTAGACAATCTCGCCATAAGTCTGTCGATATACTTCTGTAGTGTAGCAATCCATAGCGTATGCGCTTGAATCATCTTGGTTTAGATGAAGAGAAACTTTTATAACATGGCCACACGGATAACCAGATGTTTGTCATTTCATACAACTACACGTCTTTGCATTTACATCGACAAGCCCATTTAAGTTATTATCCAGTACTTCAAACAAAGTGTTTGAACATGGTTCAACTCTCCATGACGTTGACTTCACAACACGTTTCGTTATATTTTTTTCTGTCCATGGTGTAACACGATGTTCCAATGTTCCTGTAAATTTAAATAAATAATACTTAGTAAAATATATGATAAGTTACGAATTTAAAGAAATAATACATGCATGGTTTCTTTTCTTGTAGTACCACTGTTGAATAGAGGCTCGAAAAAACTCCATTAACATAGTAATGGGTAATTTCCGGGAATGACGACTTAGAGCATTGATTGATTCTGCACTATTAGACGTCATGAAACCATATCTTGCTCCAAGTTTATGTACTCTTGACCATCTTTCAAACCCGACATCTTCTAGTGTTTGAGCACACTGAGGCAAAACAATTTGATTCTATACAAATAAACACCACAAAGTCCATGAAAAGCATCTGGGAAACACCTTCTAACAGCGTTGTCAATTGAGTTTGCCCTATCGGATATGATTGTCAGATTGCTAATAGGACCTATGATTATCGTAACTTCCTCCTCATTATCATCAACAACATCTTCCTTGGCAACGGCTGTTTCATCATCAAAATTCGGGTATTGACCAATATCAAAATCATTACACGCAGGGTCTGTTTTTTCTTCTGAAAAATCATCAAAATCCGAGTATTGACCAAGATCAAAGTCCGGGTATTGACCAAGATCAAATTTCAAATACTGACTAGTACTCACAATTTTTTTTGTTGGCTCATCATCGTCTAACTGGTCAATACAAAAACCGGAATTTGGTGCTGAAAGTTGATTGGGATTTGGATTAGGGAAAGGTTGTGGGTTTTGAGATTGTGTTTGGTATTGGAAATGTGTAAAACAATATTTGCTTGGTGATGAAATTGTGGTAGAACCATTAAATTTTGAGCACCATAAACTGGGGTTGAAAAACTTAGGTGATTACTACCCGCTACTGACCCAACTTCACTACTTCTAGGTTCAACAACATACAATGTAACATCATCACTTGAAACACTAATGTAAGCAATGAATCGTTCAACATCTTCATTGTCGGTTAACAAATAAACTTTACCATTTCTCTGATAAGATAGCCTAAATCCACTTAGGGGCTCTAAATTCAATTTATTTGCAACACGTAACATTAGAGTTTCATAAGTTAACTTTTTTAATGACATTTTTAGTTGAAGATTCATGGGTAAAGGCATATATTGTAAAACACCATGAACATTCTCCCATGACCCTCCAAAACACAAATCTATCCAAACATGATCAACATTAGATGATTTCATTATTGTAAATTAATTTACTAAACAAACGAGCTGCGAAACTAAAACCTGTTGCTGGATGAGGAAGGATGTCGTTGGATATAAGAACGGATGTCGCCAGAGAGAGTGATAGATGGAGATGAAATGAGTTGCGATTTAGGGATTTAGGTTATGAGTTGTTGTTGCTGCGTATTTATATACCCAAAACATTTGTGTTGCGAAATTAAAACCTGTTGTGAATTCAGAAATCGAGTTGCGAATTTGAAATTCAGTATTGCGATAGTCAGAATCTCGTTGCGATTTACGTATTCGCATTGCGAATTAGGAAAATCGCAACACGAATTTGGGAAATCGCAATGCGATAGTCAGAATCGCGTTGCGAATCTGGAAACTAATTTGCGATACCGGAGATCGCGTTGCGAATTATCGATCGCATTGCGATTTAGTTGGTCATTTTGGCAAATCCAAAAAAAGTTGGTTAAAATCGTATATTATAAGGCATTTTTGGTCACTGAGGTTATTTTCTCAATAGATTATTGTTTACTCTTCTCAAACATATGATTAAACAATATATTTACTCTTTTTCTTCCTATAAATTTAGGAATATATAATATAAAATTAAGAAAATGATTCTCTTTTTAAAAAAAATTTGATACCACATTATTAAGGGTGTTCATTCGTTTAATTTAGTTATCAATCGAACCAAATTTTAATGAATCAAATTAGTTGATTTTCTCTTTAACCGAATCGAATTGAATAAATTTCGATTAATTTGTTTGATGATCGAATTAATCAAAATTTTTAGTATATTTGTAATTAGATTAATTTAAATTTCATATAATTTTTTTACTTAGGTCAAAATTTAATTAGATCTTGATAATTTAATGAATCTAATGTGATTAAAAAAATAATTGGTCTTAATTCCTAATAGATTTGAGCTTAAAATATGTATTTAATATATATAATATTTAATATTTTGACTAATACAATTAATTCAATTAATTAACTAATTTTGAATCGAATTAATCATTAAATATTGGAAAAAATTAATTGTTCCCAACCAAACTATTTAGTTGCTGGTCGTTTTAACCAAATTAATTTAGTTTGGTCGATAAATTCGATTAAAACTGAAAAACAAACACCCCTAATATGTATGCATATTTTCTTTTGATTATTGTTTTAATAGCTTTGCAATAGTCTTATGTTAGTTTAGCTATATTTTATATCAATTTATCAAATTTAATGTTATGCATTAATTTATATAATTTTATTTAGATACTACCATTTAAAATTATGATACTGTATTAAGAAATTCCTAGCTCCGCTCCTGTAAATATATAAAGTATATTTTGTATATCATAAAGTATATGTTAAATATCTTAAAAGTAAAATAAATACTTTCAATACTAAAAAATAATTTTTTTTGGTTATGATAACTTTTTTTAAAAGTAACGTTCTAACCTAATTCCTCACCAAAAGAAAAACATAAATTGTATAAAAAATAGGGTAAATTGCACCTGTAGGTATCTAAACTATCGATTTTAGTACATAAACTATCAGTTTTAGTAAAAAAAATTGAAATTTTAGGTAGTAAAACAGATAAAAACTGATCATTTGAGTACTAAAAGAGTAATTTATCCTAAAAATAATGTTTCAATTGATTTTTTTAATTAATCTGGGGTAAAAACAATGTAATATTTGTTTAAAGATAATTTTTAATCAATTGACATTGAACACCGATAGCCTTGGCATTCCTAGTGTTCGAACCCAAGATCTTAAGGAACATCAACAATTCATTTTCCACCGAGATCGCTTGGTTCCTGGAGTTCAATTGATTTTCTTAAATGTGCATATGTTCGCATGACGTTATAACTTCTTTTTAGGGTAAACTATCTATTTAGTACCTAAACTATTAATTTTTATCTATTTTAGTACCTAAACTTTCATATTTTTTTCAAAATTATACCTAACATTTAGTTTTCATTTCATTTTAGTACCTCACCGTTAAAAACTTAATGTGTTTAATACCTAAATTATCAGTTTTGGTCTATTTTAGTATCTAAACTTTCAATTTTTTCAAAACTTAACGTTAAATTTTAACTGGGTACTAAAATGAAACAAAAACTAAAGTTTTTAACGACATAAGATTAAAATGAAACAAAAATTAAACTATACGTATAGTTTTGAAAAAATTGAAAGTTTAGATACTAAAGCGGATCAAAACAATAGTTTAAATACTAAACACGTAATTTACCCCTTTTATAAAAAAAATTAAAAAAGTTACGCGGTAATCCGAAACAAGAGGAGAAAGAATTTTAGAAACAAAAAGTGCAGCTGCAAGATACAACTAATAACAATCTTCTATTGGTGTATCTTTATTTAACCATTTTTACCCTAATTTTTGTTTTTTGGTTTTCATCCAAAAAATATATATTTTTGATAGTATTTTTTAAAAAATATTTTTTTTTGTTTATGTTTTCTTTTTATTTGTTGGTATGCTTAATGTTTTCATGCAACAAAATCCCCAATAATTTGATGGAAGAAAATAGAGTTAGCATAGTTTTGTTCTCTACCTTAGACCCGCATTAGTTTGATCATAGAATATTGTTTTATTTTCGTTTTTTTTTTCTATTTATTATCGATGGGAGAATATATGTTGCGGAATTGGAATTAAAATACGAAAGAAGGAGAAGAACGGAATTATAGAGTAGAATAAGAGAGGGGAAATGTTAAAGTCGGAGGGGTCGTCGAAGCTTGAAAATGATACGTCAAGCCCTTCTCCTCCGAAGTCATATGACTCAAAATTCGTATCGAAAGACGGTAATTTGTTACCACTGTCTCCGTCGAATTCGAATTCAGATTCGAATTCGAATTTCACTTTCCATCTATGATTCTTCAAATAGAAATTCATCTCCGTCTCCAGATCAATCACCACCGTCATCATCACCATCACCATCACCATTAAAAAAGAGTTTACCTCCGACAGAGTCACCATCAGAACCACCACCTTCTCCTCCTAAGCAACGATCACCACCACCACCAAACCCTTCCAAGAAGGAACTACCACTGTCACCATCACTACCACCTCCTCAGGAGGAATCACCGACGGCGTCACAACCTCCTCCTCCTAAGCAACAATCACCACCACCACCTTCCAGCAGCCCTTCTCCTCCCCCGCCCTCTCCTCCATCTTTGACACCTACTCCGCCGCCTCCGACATCTTCCGGAACCCAAAATTCACTGGCAATTTCACCTTCGCCAAAAAATACATCCACTAAATCATCACCGGCATCTTCTCCTCTGACGCTAGCGCCGAGCATGCAACAGAGCTCCTCTAATGGAAGTCGTGCATCTTCCCCTTCAGGAAGAGGCTCTATGAATGAAACACAAGCCAATACAACGGTGACACGCTCCGTGTATGGAGTTATGATTGATGTAGCGGTGGCTGGGGCGTTATTCGCCGCCATCTTCATTGCCTTGTTTTTCTTCCTAAAGAGGAGAAGAAAGAGGAAACAAGCTCTTCCAGGGAATTACACGCCACCACCCGGTAATATTGAAGTGAACTCAGGTAATAAAAATTTAGTCCACTATATTTTTCTTTGGCATAATTGCATCAATTTAAATTAAACTTCAAAAAGTTATATTTCAATCCTCAAAATATTTACATTACATAAATTAGGTCTTTTCTTGAGCCTAACGTAGATCAAATTTTAAAATATTTGTATACGTATTGCATGGATAATACGTTATTTCTTTCTTTTTAGTACATTGAATTCAAATTGTCCATTTAATATGTTTAATATTTGGTCCACATGTTATAAATAGGCAAAAAAAAAAGAATTAGAGGTACATTTAATATGTTTAATATTTGGTCCACATGTTATAAATAGGCAAAAAAGAATTAGAGGTCCCAGTACTTTTTAAATCAATTGATGTAGGTCTCGTATTATTTTTTTCTCTCGACGCCCTCCAACTCAGAAAATAAGTCCAATGTGACCTTTTGACCAACGTTTTTCGTTGTTTGACCGTTACGGTGCTAACGTGGAAGTTCATGGTGCTGATGTGGTAGTCCACGGTGTTGACATGACAGTCCACAGTGGTTGATGACGTGACGGATAACATGGAAGATGGGCTAAATTGGTAACTTAAACATGGAAGATGGGCTAAATTGGTAACTTAAACATAGCAGATGGACTGCCACGTCATTACGGTGGATCGCCATGTCAACAAAGTGAACTATCACGTCAGCATCGTAACTGTCAAATGACAAAAAAAAGTTGGTCAAAGGGCCACATTGGGTTTATTTTTTGAGTTGAAGGGTCACATTGAGAAAAAAATAATACAAGGGCCATATTGGTTTTTTTCAAAAGTACATGAACCTCTTATTCATTTTTACCTTTTAAATATGTTTTACTCTAGGGATGAAGTTAGGATCAAACATTGGGAGGTGTTAATTTGCTTTATACTAAAAGAATAAGAGTTTATTAGGTATTTAAATCTAAAAATTGGGAGAGACAAAAAATTATTTGAATAATATTTAAACCTAAAGGATTCAAAATACCATTATACCAAAAATTTGACCCTCCTAAAAATTAATTATTTAATTTGATCCATTTAAAATAAATTTATAGCTTTGGCTCCTCAAACTTTTATAATTTTATCCTGACCCCACATAAAATTTCCGACGTTGTTAAAAGATTAATTTCAAATCTAATAATTATTTTAGGGATGCTTGACGGAATTAATCCTTTTTCCTTTTTTTATTCTTTTACTCCAATTGTTTGTGTTTAATTTAACAATTATCTTAGCTATGCAGATTGGCCTGGCAAAGGATCACCTAGGGTGTACTATAATCCGGAGTTGGGCATTAGAGCCGGTTCGAAGACACATTTCGGGTACGAAGAGTTGATGGAGATGACCGACGGGTTTGCTCACAATAACATCATCGGAGAAGGCGGGTTCGGGTGGGTTTACAAGGGTCAATTGCCTGACGGCAACCACGTGGCTGTCAAGCGACTAAAAGTCGACAGTGGCCAAGGCGATCGAGAGTTCAAGGCCGAAGTCGAGATCATAAGCCGCATTCATCATAGGCATTTGGTGTCTTTGGTAGGGTATTGCATTGCCGAGAATCAAAGGCTGCTCATCTATGACTTCGTTGGGAACAAGACTCTCGAACATCATTTGCATGGTAAGATAATGGTTTATTTCGCCAAAGTACCTCCTCGAAACAAAACTTTACGATTTAGTCCTAACGTCCGGAAATCATTATGCAACAGGAAAAGACATGCCGGTGCTTGAATGGCCTAAAGAGTCAAGATTGCTATAGGAGCTGCCAAGGGTTTGGCATATTTACATGAAGATTGTATGCATTCCCTTGATGTTAAATTTCATTTTTAATCCCTCTACTAAGCTTAAATTCAACATTCAATCCCTATACTTTGTTATGATCTATTTTCAGGTCAACCAAGAATTATCCACAGGGACATTAAGTCAGCCAACATTCTATTGGAATATGATTTTGAAGCACGTGTGGCAGATTTTGGACTTGCTAGACTTAACGATACTAGTCAAACCCATGTTTCAACTCGAGTTATGGGAACATTCGGGTAAGAAATAATTACGTCATATCAATATATATTCATTATATTAAAATCAAGGGTAAATTACGTGTTTAGTACATCAACTATCCGTTTTAGTCCGTTTTAGTACTTAAACTTTCAATGTTTTTCAAAATCATACCTAAAGTTTAGTTTTTTATTTCATTTTGAACACTTGTTCAAAATTTAACATTAAGTTTTGAAAAACATGATAGAAGTTTTCAAAATTATGATTTGACTACTATTTATTGCACTTTACAAATAACTAAATAAAAATTACTTATAAAAAATAATTAAATAAAACGATAAAATACAATACATGTCACTCAATTATTAGTAAGATTACAAATGTGACATTAGATTTTGAAAATTTATAAATGGGTCAATCAATTAATCAATTGTTGTAAATATGTCACTCAATTATTTGAGTTATTTATTTCATTTTTCTTTCAGGTATTTGGCACCAGAATACGCATTGAGTGGGAAGTTGACTGATAGATCCGATGTCTTCTCCTTTGGGGTTGTGCTTTTAGAACTTATAACCGGCCTTAAACCCGTTGATCCGACTCGACCTTTGGGAGATGAAAGTCTGGTCGAATGGGTGCGTATTTTTTTGAAAATTTTATAAATTTGCTTCCTTTAAAATTTTATGACCTCATTCTAAACATAAAATTTTGTGTTCGTCTTGATTGTAAGTGGTACTTGAACCGATGAATAAGAATAAATATTGTGTCGTGATTTTGACAGGCGCGGCCTCGACTCATCCAAGCCCTTGAAAATGACGATTATAGTGAATTAATTGATCCGCGGCTGGAGAAGCGTTACGTAGAGGATGAAGTGTTAATAATGATCGAGGCAGCCGCCGCTTGTGTGCGGCATTCTGCCGCAAAGCGACCTCGAATGGCGCTGGTAATGTTATCGAACCCTTTCTTAGTCAATTTGATCATAAAAAGTTAATAACCTTAACTCATTCAAATCGAACCCTTTCTTAGTCGGTTTGATCATAAAGGTAAGACTCGAACTCGAAACCATAAATTAAAGCTCGAAAAAGATAGAAAAAAATCAAAATGAAAAGAAATATTAAACTTAACTCGATTGAAGCCTCAACCTCAAACTCGAACTTGAACCTTAAATATAATAAAACCTTATACTACATTCTTTTTTAAAAAATTAACACATAAATATTAATATTATTTATAAATTTTATTTTTTTAAAATAAAATCTTAATATAATATATTTTCGAGTTGCTAGCGAGTTTTTCGAGTCAAATATCAAGTAGCTCGTTTCAGCTCGTTAAGAACTCATGTTGATCTCGAATAGCTCATAGTTTGTCTCGTCTCATTTAGAGACCTAGGTGACTCTCCTAACTAGGGATGACAACGGGTTGGATCTGGACCGGATTCAGCTAGATCCAGATCCACCCATTTTCACATCCTAGATCCAGTCCCGCCCCGGATTTGCGAGTCTAGAAAATTGAGACCCAGATCCAACGGGTCTGTTAAAAAAGACCATTCAACCTATTTTTAATGTAATAAAACTGTTATTGATTAATTTCACATCACATCTCCCATGGAGGAAAATTAATTTTAATACAACTAATAACAAAATAAAAAACGATAAATAAAGTCTAAAAAAATCCAACACACACAAATGTTCAGGTTCAAGGTCCATTGCCATCTCTCCTCCTAACCCATTTTATTTTGTAAATGTCAGTATTTGAACTCCTAACCTTGCTTAACAGATTAGTGTCTCGTTCCATTAAACTAACTGATTGTTGGTCAATTGACTTTTGTGTAAAACAATCTGAATCCAAAATGATCCGAACTCAAAAAGAACTCGAACGATTAACCTAAAATGATCGATCCTTATTGATTCAAAAAAAATATAAATGAACCCTAAATCCGGACACCAGATTTATTTTGGTACCTAAACATCGTACAGGTGGTAAGAGCATTGGATTTCGAGGGGGCGGATTTGTCGAACGGGGTGAAAGTGGGTCAAAGCACAACTTATGATTCCAGCAAATACAGTGACGAGATTTCAATATTCAGGCGGATGGCATTCGGCAGTGACACCGGCTCCGTATTCGACAATTTTAGTGAAGATTTCAGTTCAAGGGAAATGTCGTACGGGCATGCCTCATGGAAACCTGAGTACAGCTCGGGTGAGTTCACGGGCGGCGAGTCGGGGAACTACGGCGGCGGTCGCTTCAAATGATGGTCGATTGATCTTTCAGTTAAAAATCACGAGTTAGCATTTATTTTGTAAATGTAGATATATGTTTAAAGGTTAAAACGTGAAGAACCCTTATGTTTTATAAAGCATACAAATGTAGATACATGGTTAGAAGATCGCGTTGAGAGAAAAAATAATATGAGCTTCGTATTAATTTTTTTTTAAAAAGTACAAAAACCTCTAATATCTTTTTGTATATATATAATTGATTTAAGGATAGAGTAAACAAATGGTCTCCCGATTACCAGCGTTGTTTTGTTGAGTCTCCCAACTATTAAAAGTTACAAAATTATCACACGACTATTTATATATTCTAAACTCGTCGTTTTCTAATAAAATATTAACTACAGTATGAGCTTTACGTCAATCTAGTGACTGAGATATGATAAAATTTGCTCCTAGAATCTCAAACGACTATCATATCTCAGTCAACATGATAATGTTAAACTTAGACGATCGTCATTTTTTTTAATGAAATAGGACGACTTTGAAACAAATGAATAATTGAATGACCATTTAGTGATTTTAATAGTCGAGTGACTCAACAAAGCAATGTCTTATAATCAGAGGATTTGTAACTTTTAATAGTTTGAGGACTTAATAAAGTAATGTCCTATAGTCGGAGACCATTTGTGCATTTTACCCTTGATTTAACTATTTTAATAGTTATTTGATTGGTTTTTTTTAATTAATCACTGTATCTTATTATTGACCAATTAATCCAGATCATGTACTGCAGAGGCGAGAGCGGGCCACTCAATCCAATTGGCTCTATTCGCAAACATTAAGATTTAAACATCTGACATTTCTTAAGGGATCAAGTGACTTATCTCATTATTCGAATAAGTTGTTGGTCTTTGATTGGTCATTTTTAAAAAATAAAATTCTTCCTAGATCAGGAAGTTCTCTAGTATATATGTTTTAAAAAAAATATCAATTTCCAGATCTAGGATGAAGTTAGGAAGATTCGGTTGCTTTAATAACTCTTAGTTTTGGGGAAAATAAAATTCTTCCTAGATCAGGAAGTTTTGAAATTTGAATATGAATTTAGGATGTTTATCTATCTTCCTGGATTCCTTGATGCATTATTATTGTACGAAATTGAACTTTGAGTGATTTGTCTGGTTGTGCTGCTGGTTTTATGAATTTAAGATGCGGATCTTCCTTGATTCATTGAACTTTGAGTGATTTGTTTGGTTGTTCCTGTTGATTTTAGATTACGGAGACCGATTTTTTTAAAAAAACAGCTAGTAGAGAAGGAGCCATGGCTTTCGTCGCAGAAACTGGTTGTTAAACCTGATATGCTGTTTGGAAAGCGTGGGAAGAGTGGTTTGGTTGGCTTAAATCTGGATTTTGCTCAAGTTGTTGCTTTTGTGAAAGAGCGCCTCGAAAAAGAGGTTTAGGTCACCCTCTGTTTTTCTTTTCAGCCTTTAATTTGTCATTGTTGAGGTTCAGGTTCGACTTCATGTTAACTGCTTGTGACTTGCAGGTAGAAATGGGTGGACGCAAGGGGCCTTTACAACATTCATTGTTGAACCTTTCATCCCTCACAATGAAGAGTTCTACCTTTACATTGTCTCTGAGCGACTTGGTTGCAGCGTTAGCTTTTCAGAGTGTGGAGGGATTGAAATTGAAGAGAATTGGGATAAGGCACTTTGAAATTATCTGGAACCGTTTCTCAGTTTACATTTTGTTTTTCCCTTAATAGTTTCTTAGCTAAGATTGGTTATCCTTCATACGGGTTAAGACCATCTTTGTCCAACTGGGTCACCTTTCACATCAGAAGCTTGTGCTCCACTTGTTGCAACCCTTCCCTTGGAGGTGATTTCATTTCTTTGTAGGTGGGGTAATATTGAATTTCCACTGCCTTTTGGGAGGGTTATGAGTGCAACTGAAAGCTATATTCATGGGCTAGATGAGAAGGCAAGTTAGATTTAATAGAAGTGGTCTAATATACGTTGCTGTTTGTCTAATAGTTTCACCCTCAAGTATGGAATTGATTAAAAATATATATTTATATTGCAGACAATTGCTTCTTTGAAATTTACGGTGCTGAACCCCAAGGGACGCATTTGGACAATTGCAGACAACCGACTTTCGATCCCTTAAAGATGAATTTCTGGTAAACACATCAATTTTGTTTTAAAAATGATTTTTATATTTATTTAAATTATTTTTAAGACGCTTTAGGTACTCGATCTACCTAACCCAAAGGTCGATGGCGGCTCCAATTCTTTTCTAAATTTCACTCATATTTAAATTTTATTCGATTTTTAAATAAATAAATTTTTACACCTCATTTAAAAAATAAAAATCGTTTCATTTTGAAAAATAAACGTTACGAGACCCTCAAACCCGATAAAACTCTTAAACCCTGAAAATGGTGGATTTGTGTTTAATCTCATGAGTTTTAAAAGTTTTTGAAAAAAAAAATCTAAACCGATAAATTAATAGAGGATGATGAGACGAGTTCGCCGGTGTTTAAGGTGATCATAAAAGACATTAAGGGATGAAAATTTTCATGGACGACTGAAAACGAGTGGAAAAAACCATAACTTTAATAAAGAAGAAGATGGTATGAAATAAAAAATTAAATGTTTGGCTCGAGCACCAGTGAGATGGTTGTAATCCCTTGGATGCTTGCCTCATGTCTCTTCATGATTTATGCATCTTTTGAGTAAAAACTCTTCACCAAAGATGCACCTCTTGAAGCGGAGACACTTCATGAACAGCCACCTTGATGATATGTCATGATGTTTGGAGCTAACTCTTTATGGAAAGGCATGTTAGAAGGTGAATGAGCTACTTGTGAGCCAGCCATAGGTGCGTAGAGGCATAAGTAGCTTGTGATAAAATTTGTATTTCACTCCTCTATCTTCTCTTTGAATTGGTTTTTTTTACGAAACTCACTAAAAATCGGTGAAAACCTATCTAAAGTTTTGATGTTCTAATACTTTGGTCTCCTTCGACTGTTCGATGAGACTAGTTTTGAGGTAAATTGTTCATATTCTCGACGGATGCTTCTCATTCTTCAGATTTTCAATCAAACACCAAAATCTTTCAAATATGAGAAAACTCTCAAACCCTAAAAATGGTGGATTTATGTTTAATCTCATGACTTTTAAAGATGTTTTGGAAAAATATAAACCGGTAAAGTAGTAGAGGATGGTGAGACGAGTTCATCAATATCTGATTGCAAAATACATCAGAGATTGACAATTTCTAAGGGTGACTAAAAATGGGTAGAAAAAACCTTGACTTTGATGATGAAGAAGATGATAATAAAAAATAAATAAATGTTCAGCTTCTATATCATCACACGTGAATATTAAACGCTATCACATCATCTTATTGTTAATGGGTTAACGTTTCAGTGTTTATATCTTACCTAAAGTCTTCAATATTAAAATTAAAACGTTTTAAAGTTCAATGATAAAATAAATACACATTCTTTTTCTAATGCTTCATTTGGGCAGATACAAACTTCAACCCAAATTGAAAGAGATATTCTACATTTAGGTGTGGTGGTAATTTTAATCCATCAAACGGTTTTTAATAATTAAAGAGAGTGTTATTTTTACTTGAGATATTGGATTCAAGCAGTTATCTCTATAGGATATATGTACGTTATCATTAGCTCAAAAAATTCAAAAAAATAGTATCCTCGTAATCACTCAGACTAATAAAAAATGTGCGGTAGTGGCGGTCGTCCTCTTGAAATTTTAAAATTACTATATATATTTTATATTTTTTATGTATTTTCTATTAAAATTTATTTTCATCCCCTGAAATTTTGTAAGTTCAAATTCACCCTCTTAAAATTTTAAAATTTCAAATTTATCCCCTTGACATAAATTCTTGTGTACGGTGGTAGTTGTATTAGGTAAATGTAGACACGTTTTAATTGAACAAGTGTACGTAATTTCTTGCTTCTCTGTCCCATTTATTATATTGGTCCCTACTCCCTATTATTGTTTAGAAGACACATATTTCATATGAATTCAATTTAGTCCCGCCACCTTCACTATATAAAGGAGTATTGGGTGACATGGATTCATCTCTACTCTACACCACAGGAGCTAAACTAGTTATAAGAAATGGAGTGCAGGAAGTTCGCTTTGCTTTTGGTCGCAATGGCAGTGGTGCTATCGGCTGCAATGGCTCCGGCAGTTACCGCTGCTCGTAACAGAGTTACGCCATTCTCCATCATCACCGGTGTCGACATTCGGGACCCTTTCGCCAACGTTTTCTTGTTTAACAAACCGGCTGAAAATTGTGTACCCTTGGGGGGATCCTGCTATACGAGCAGTGAGTGTTGCTCTGGCCGATGCCTTTTTTATGCCCACCGTTGTGTTTCATAATGATGAATAACGGGACCGAATCGGCTAAATAGATGATTTGTTCGTGTATTTGTCGGGTTTTTTTGTCGTAGAATAATGTACCCTAGCTAACGTTTGTTTCTTTGGTACGATTGGCGTTGTTTATGTTGTTATGTATGTCGTCGTGTAGTTTGCTTGTTCCTTCGATGTCTGGAAGGGACTACATATCTTGATGATAAATAAAATATCTATTTAGCGGTTAATTATAAGAGTACACATCACATTTATTTTTTCATTATATTTCTCATAATTTAAAATTTACAAATCATTATCTTTTTTTTATCTCATTTTCTTCTTCCCCAATCTTCGAGCATTAAATTTTCATATTTTTTATTAACTAACAAAAAAACTCATTAATATAATAAAATGAAAGTTCACCATTTTTAATCAAGGGTAAAATACACAAATGGTACCCAATTATAGGGTACTATTTTATTAAGTCCCTCGACTATTTAAAGTTACAAAATGGTCCTCCAACTATAGAGCGTTGCTTTATTGAGTCCCTCGACTATTAAAAGTTACAAAATAGTCACCCGACTATTCATTATGATACAAACTCGTCATTTTTCATTACAAAAATTGTCGGTATTCTGATCTAAACGTTAACTTGCTGACCATGATGTAATAAAACTGATCATAGAATCTCAAACGACTGTCATATCTCGATCATCATGTTAACATCCAACTTAGAGAACTATCAATTTTTAACGGAAAAGCATAGGTTTGAAACATAAAGAATAATCGAGTGACCATTTTTGTAACTTTTAATAGTCTATGGACTAAATAAGTAACATTCTATAGTCAAAGGATCATTTTGTAAATTTTAATAATTAAGGCATTTAATAAAATAATACTCGATAGTTAGGGGACCATTTATGTACTTTACCCTTTGATAAAAAAAGATTTGATTTACCATTTTTGTAACTTTTAATAGTCTATCTAAAGTTTTGACGTTCTATTACTTTGGTCTCCTTCGACTGTCCGATGAGACTAGTTTTGAGGTAAGTTTTTCATTTTCTCGACGGATGCTTCTCATTCTTCTGATTTTCGATCAAACACCAAAATCTTTCAAATATGAGAACTCTTAAACCCTAAAATAGTGTATTTATGTTTAATCTCATGACTTTTAAAGACGTTTTGGAAAAATCTAAACCGATAAAGTAGTAGAGGATGATGAGACAAGATCATCAATATCTGATTGCAAAAGACATCAGAGATTGACAATTTATGAGGGTGACTAAAAATGGGTAGAAGAAACCTTAACTTTGATGATGAAGAAGATGATAATAAAAAATAAATAAATGTTCAACTTCTCTATCATCACACGTCAGTATTAAACTATAACGCCATCTTATTGTTAATGGGTTAACGTTTCAATGATATAGAATTAAAGCGTTTATATCGTTGTAATCACCATTTTTCCCGAGACCCAAAAAAAGACTCGACCCAGGGCCCAAACCAAAACTCAACCTGCAACTCGAAAAACCCGACCCAGGTCTAGGTTAGCCCTAGGTAGCCTCCCACTCTCCCAACCGATGGACACCTCCCTCTGTCCTAATCTCAGCAAAACACCCCCATGCACGCCAAACCCAAGCTCCACGCCACCTCCTGTAGAAAACAACAAGGAAGCAACAAAATAGAATCATTTCTCTCTCTCTGTAAATGGGTATAAAACCCGAACAATACATGGTAATCTGGGTTCCATTTTTCTGTTAGAAAATTAAAAAAAAAAGTATAAAAAGAAAAAACTAAAATTTCCAAGGCATTTTTTACTGTTTTTTATTTATTTTATTTTTTTTGCTTTCGATAAAAAAAGAAGAAGAAAAGACAGGGGAGTTACCTTCGGTCGGAGCTTTGTCGGCGGCGAGGAACTTCGTTTGAGAATCCGAACGGTCGAAAGGGAGAAGAGGAGTCGGCGAGCAACATACTTGAACTGAGGCGATCCAACGACGGACGGCGGAGATCGGAACGATGGAAGCCGAGACGTTCTTGGCCGTTTTTGTGGAGTTTGGGGCTGATTCTCGCAAAACTAAGGCCATATCTGTGACCACCACATTGAAACAAGTCGACCGATGTAATTTGGTGGGCAACGACCACCGGTTTTTTAATTCGGGTATGAAGTAGCTCGTTTCAACTTGTTAATAATTCAAATGAGTTCAAGCTCGAGTCAACTCTATTCGATTCAAGAGTTGATCAAGCGTTAACCAAGACAATCTCGAATAGCTCGCGATCTATCTAGTCTCATTTACAACCCTACTCGCGACTTGCTACTTAGGGCTAGTGGTGGGCATGAGACTCGGATTTGGTAAATTTTGATTTGATATATTTTATAAGATTAATTTTTTAAAATTAAAAATTGAATCATATGACTAAATATTTTTTTGAAGAATAGAGTCATATTTAGAGTTAAAAATTAACTTGACCCAATTTAAAAAATAGTATAATTTTTCTTATATATTAGAGATAATTGTAATAATACTCATATTTTTATTTTTTTCAAATAATTTCCTATTTACCTCATACAAATTAAACTATGTTTATTTATATCGGGTCGAATGCAATTTTTATTCATAAATTAAATTAGATTCAGATTGAATGAATCTATATAAATTCAGGTCAAATCAAATGACAGATAAAAAAAATAAAATGTTAGAAACTAAATTTGAATAAATTAAACCCTTCTATACTTTCAGCTTTTAAGTTAATTAATAAGAAAGTTCATGGCCTTGATGTATGCTTGTCCCAATAAAGTTTTTTTCTCATCTTTGGTATTTAAAAGGTTTACGGTGGACACGTGTTATACATCATTCGAAAACTTTTTAATAATTTGAGAATAAATATTTAAATATTTTTGTAGATACAATATTTAAATTTAAATTCTTAAAAATAATAATTATTATTTGATTACTGAGATCGTATTAAAATTCAAAAAATTCGAGTCCCCTGATCAAAACGATAATGTTGATATATTTATATTGTTATATTAAAAATATCAATAGAGATTAAAAAATATTTTAAAATAATTATAATTGGATATAGCAAACAGCCCAATCCTTGAAGTCAAACCAAGGTGCAAAAATATTATCCAAAGCTGGACTGGTTGGCCTAGAGATGAGCCGACCATTTTCACAGGCCTAGGGACTTGGCGCGTGATCATCAAAACGGCGCGTGAGGTAGAGCAATTTCAACGATCTATACACACGAGAAAGTTAGGGTTCATGGCCTATGGGTTCACTTAACCCTCACAACACCAAAAAAAATCCCCTTTTCTCATCTAGTAATCTGATTTTTTCCTTCGAGTTTCAATCAGATCATAAGGGAAATTACTGAAAATTTCCAGCAAAATCCTAGCCCTCCCGTATAAGAAAATGGACGCGTATCAGCAGCAACAACAGCAGCCGCATCGCTACATGCGACCGCCTCCGCCGCAGCCGCAGCAGCAACCACCTGCTCCGGCTGATCCCCACCTCCAACAACAACATTATTATCAGTACCAGCCACCACCGCAGCCGCATCCTCCGAGAGCTGCTGCTGCTCCGCCTTCGGGGTCTTGGTACTCCAATCAATTTCAGTACCAGCAGCAGCAGCAGCAGCATAATCACTCTCATTCTGCGCCACAGTACCACCCTCCTCCTCATCCTCCTTCCCCTCAGCAACCGCCTTACCAGTGGGGTCCGCCTCCGCATCCCGACCATTCCGCTTATCCTCTGCCTCATTCTCTTCCTTTCCCCCCGCACCCTCATAACGGAAGTAACCACTTGCCTCCACCCCCGCCTCCTCCCGTTCATAGACCTTACATGCCTCCTTCGCAGATTCCCAATACTTTCTCTCACGTCAATCAGGTTAATTCCGACTTTTTATGTTATTTTTGTCTATTTTTTATTTATAATGTTAAGTAAATTACTGCTGTTTGGGTTCATTTCATCCACTGACTTTTTTTTGGCTCTTTTTTAATTCTATAGGAATGTAACAATACAAATTGGTCTCATCATCAAGGTGGGTATTTATCTGGTTTTCTGATTTCATTCCCCACGATATTTAGCTTTTCATCGTCTTCAGTAGAATTATATTGTTATTTCCATATGTGTAGGACTGCTGACTGCTCCTTGTAAATGTTAATATGGGCATTTTCTGAAGCATTTTTATCCTATACATGCAAATAGTATATAACTATATATTTGGTGTGTGTTAATTTAACTACTTATACACCCACGGTGATACTTAAAGGCTCTGCAAACTTCTTACATTGATGTTAACTCGCTGTATGTCTGTTATTGTAAATTGTAATTAAGGTGATAGATGGATGGAATGACTGAGGTTTCATTTCAATGGATGCTATTTCACCTCCTTGTTTATGGTTAAATGGAACGGGAACCAACTGTTACTGATAGGAATGTATTTCTTATTACCATGATGGCAATTGTTCTAGTGGTCAGCTGTTGTTTATCCATATAATTTAAGTTTCCGATTGTGATATGTATGATCTGAACTTCTGTGTTGCTACCCATACAAGCCACATGCCCTGATTATCAAAGTTAACCTAAACCTGTGTGCTTTTCTTATCGTATGTTGGTGTTAATGGGTTTGTTGTGTAATAATTTTCTGGTGCCAGCCCACAACAATGTGGAGGATTGGGGAGCCAAAGCTAGAGAATGGGCAAACACTAGGGCTGCAATGCAGGACCAGAATGGGCAACCACAAATTACTCCAGCTGGCAGGCCAGAAGAGCAAAATCATTTTCATGATCCATATTCACAAGCTGTTGATTCTCATTATATGGATGCTCAACAGTCACTGCCAATTTCTAGCTATCAGCAGTTCCCTGTTCCAGCAGTATCTCCTCATGTACCTCCAGCAACTTATCCAAATGAGACTTTGTCTAACAGCTCCAGACCGTCTTGTATATTCCTGATGCTTGTCCGCCCTACCATGTTAGAGATGGAACTTCTCTTATGGATCCGAACAGTGGATTTCTTCACCAAGAAAGTTTGTCTGCCAGTTCATCTGTTCATATGCAGGAGGTACCTTCTAGTTATTCTTCTGTTTCAGGTAATAATTTCACCTAGTAAATTGAACATGCTTGTGCAGCTTGTGCTGAAGAACTGCTTCTTTAGACCACATTTCTACACATCCTTTTCTTGTGTTGAAATAATATCATTCGGGAACCCATTGGTCAAAGATTTCTATTACTCTGTTCTATATTTTTGAATAGTTTTTTTGTACTTCTAAACAGGAACTCTTAAGCAACTATCATTCAGAAAAACTCATGATGTGTAGGGTATGTAGCCTAACTAAAATGATAATGTGACTGACTGGAATATATATAAACTGAAAGGGTCTTACCCTAGTTCTTTGTACCTTTTCTTTTAAAATTGTGTTCACACTTTTTTTCCTTTCATTATTATTTTTAAAATGCTAGTTTTAGTTTGGTTAAGTAATATGTAGCTAATTCATCTAAGATTGAACCATCACATATTGGTATTCTTTTCTCAAAGTTGGTAAAGAGTCTTTCCTTTCATTCGTTTTTAATTATTTATTTCTTGGATGCTTTGGTGATCCAAATTTTCGTCCTTCGCATGACTACAAATTGTCCACAAAGTTCAGTTGAGAAATGGCTATTTGAAAGTATGTACTTGGTTCTTTGAGTGATTGCTTTTGTGTTGGAATATCCACTTTTAATGGTCAACCTAATGGCTTTGTTTGTCATATGAAAAAAATCTACTTGGCAAATAATAGTTAATGTGGAACGAACTCCCTAGTATGGTTGATTCTTACCAGTCCACGCTGGCTATATGAATGTTATCTGGACTGTTGTAACGTATAAATAATTTTCTAATGTTCATACACCATGCTGGTTTTGTTACTAAGTTTTTCGATGGATATTGTTGGGGAAAGAATTTAATGGCATGGCATTGTAGTCTGGAATTACTTCCTTTTTTTGGACTTTTAGCTATTAAATTAGATAACATATATGCTAAGACTTTTAACTATTAAATTAGATAATATATATGCTAAATTATGTCAAGATATTACAGTCCCCCTCCCCCCACCCCTACATAGGTACTATATCTGTTGAAGTTATTCAATGACGTATGAACATGTCAAAAAGTTTCATTTGTTGCCATTATCATTACTTGTTCACATATCTAGCTAAAGTATCATGAGCTATACCAGCTACTTAGAAGTGCCTAGAAATGACATTTCTTTTAACATTTGGAAATGTTTGAACTACTTATTTAGCTCTTACATACTTTTACTGGGTCTGTTATATTTTTGCTGCTTGATTTTCTATCAAATCAGCAAACCACAAGCTTAGTATTGTGCAATATATCAAACTATATGAACAGAAAGATTTGTTAGTAGTTGCACAAGAATGCATATGTTTTGTTGGTAATATATCTGTCACAGTAAGGTTACTATATCGTGTGCTGAATACTTTGATATGAATACTTAGTTTAATATGATAAATGGAGGCTTCAATTCGAAAATCAAATGGCAACTTATATGTAAATGCTGTAAGATAAAAGGAGATAAAGTAATTGAGTGGTAATGTGAGGGTAGTAGTAAAGTGTAGTGGAAATTCATATGCAATGAATATTTGCAAGCATGCCTCCTGATATGAGTTTTTTTAAAGTAAAAAGGGTAAAAAGCTAAAACCATCTGCTTGAAATTACTATACTTTCATTATCTCCTGATTTGATTGAACTTCAAATAGGAAGATCTGAAGGGATTTGATTCATTCCTAAAACACCCTTCTCCCTGTTAGAAAAATCCGTGAACCTTTTGCTGGCTCATTTTACTTTTATCTACTCCCCTCCATCCAAACACACTATGAGATATTTTCCTTGTATTCCTTGAGCGCCTAAAAAGTAAGATTAAATTGAAAATGTTCTTGGGTAGGTTATCAGGATTCTTCGATTCAAGAAAGCTGATGCCTTAGCTAAAGAAGGAATTGGCTGATTCTATTCTAGTCTTATATTTCGGGTGTTTTATGGTTGTTTTAAGTTTATTTGGTTGGTGGGGTGTAAGATGGTTGTATCTTATGTAATTTTATGGTTCAATAAAATCCTAAGGCGCTCTTTTCCTCCTTCCACTGATTAAGGAGTTCATATAAACTCCATTAATCAAGAAGGAGGTTTTTAACGAGGCCTGAAACTCTTATCAAAAAAAAGAAAGATGACCACTTATGAGATATTTTCTAGCTGCATATTTCTAATTAATATAGTTGCGTAATATTTCTTTTTTAAGGTTGTGTTATGATAATACTAAAGTCTTAAGCCATTTTTTTTTTCTGAAAAGATTTAAGTGGATGATTTTTTTCTCCGATAAGCTAGTCTTGCTGTCAATAAAATATCTTCTATAGAGCAGATGGGAGAAGTGCTGAATTTTGGCTTTTCATGTGAATGACAGCCAAAGGCTGCTAAGGCTGTCAAAGTTTGTTTTATTTGCTATTTGACTTCTCTCTAATATGCCAGGGAAGGAAAAGTCTGCAGATGAAAAGGAGCAGCCATATAAATCATTGCCCTTGCCCATTTCATCGGCTCAAGCGTCAGCATATCATCATATGCAACCTCCATTGCCTGATATTGGGAGATCAGTGCAAGGTGAGCAGTCTTTGTTGTATGGCAGTCAAGCAGCAGATCCTGAAGCTGATCTTAGCGATAGGCCTTTAGATTTTGCACCTAGGTATAATAACGATCACGAACGACAAATGCAATCCAATTATGCTGCTCATCATGAACCATTAGGGAGAGGCATTGATCCCATTGCTATGTCATCATCATTTAACTCCTGGACTCCTCCAGTTGCACCTGATGCAGTTTATCCTCATGTTCTTCCACCTCGATCACAGGTCTTCCTTCAATCCTTGTCTGTTATGTTTCATTTGTTTACAAGTTTTAGTAATACTATTACTGATATAAAATCCATTTCTCAGCATGATCCGATGTCTGCACCTTCCCCAGTTTCTGGACATACACCTTCATTTCCAAGGTTTCCTGGGCCTAGTTTTCAGCCACACATTCCATCTGCAACTGCTCCATTTGGTCTTGGTGTGGGAACTCAACTTCATCCTGCTGCAGCCTTTCCTGGTGATATGTATGGGGCTGTTTCTGAACGACCCAAAAAGGTATTGAATACTTAACAGTTGACGTCACTGTCTTAAATGTGAAAGCTTTCATGATGTTGTTGCTGAGTTCTTCTCATGGAATTTTATCCAGGGTCCTGTGCCTAATTGGCTTAAGGAAGAAATATTAAGGAACAAAGCTATAGCTAAGTCTTCTCTAGAACATCCAAAAAAAGAAACAAACTCCATTGAGGATGAAGCTGTTGATAAATCCTTGGCTAAAAATGATCAAGCAGATAGCAAAAGCATTGATTCTTCTAGATCAACTGAAGAAGAGGATGATGATGAGGTTTTACAATTTCTGCCTTTAACTCATTTATATCTGAATATGCCATAGATGAGTTCTCTCATTATAATTTGATTTCCTTGAGACATGACCTGCTGCATTTTATTTCTGCAGGATTATGTTGAAGCAGCTAGAACTGCAGCTATTAACCAGGAGATAAAACGTGTGCTAACTGAAGTCCTTTTAAAGGTTGCTACTCTTTAAGCACTTATGGTTGTTTTATTGTGTGTTTTTGTGCATGTGTGCTGTAGATCTAATCCATGCCATTGATCAGGTCACAGATGAGTTGTTTAGTGAAATTGCAACCAATGTTGTTAACAAAGATGACTCAATAGTTGAAGGTAAGTGGAGGCTGGCATATGGATAATTTTTCCTGGATATTTCTTATGCAAGGACTCACGTCTTCTAACTTAGTCTTTGATATATATTTTTTCATGATGCTATCTTTCTTAATTTCACCATTTTTTAATAACTGCTTAACTGCAGTTGATCACAACACTGTTGCTTCAAATCACAAGGTATCACCATCTTCTTCACTTGTCCCAACTCCTAAGGCTTCTGCAAGGGTACTGGTTCCAGGTAAAGCGAAAGAATCAGACACTGCTGAAGAAAAATCTAGTTCAAGCTCCCCTGACAATGTGCTAGGCCTTGCAAACTATGCCTCTGATGATGAAGATGTACATGATGAAACTCAAAGTTCCAGGATGCCAAATTCAAGGAGTACTGATGCTGTTGTGCAGTCCAGCAGTAAGAAGCTTTCACAAGACAGTGATGTAACAGATAATGGCAATTTACAGGCGGTACTTGATGAGCACAAGGGAGCTGTAAAGAATTTTGGAAGTGATATGAAGTCAAATAACAGAAGTGACACTACTGATGACAGTGCAGATAGGAACTATGAAAAATCATTTTCTTCCAAGGTGGTTTCTGGATACCGAAGTAATATTAATAGTGGAAAGCTGCAAGATGGAAATAATGGTTCTAAGATGAATGATACTTTAGTGGAACGGGTGACCAAAAAATCTGATTCCGAGCTGCCTGGTGAATCTGCTGGCAAAAGATCAACAAAACCCGAATCACAAAGTAGGGAAACGAGAGTAAAATCAGATAAGAATGATCGACATGAAAGTAGAAAGAGTTCTTTCAGTAAAGACCCCGGTAGTGGTAGGGAGTTGGAGGTCATTAAGAGTAGGGGAGAGCAGAAGGGAGATGAGAATTACATGAGGGAGGATGAGAGGCTTATAAAGCAAAAGATAGAAGATCGGAGTGGCTCAAAAGAGAGAGAAAAAGAGCCTAAATCTGCGGAGAAAGCCAAGGAATCTGATTCAATAAAAAGATCTAGTCATCATGATACCAAGAATGACAAGAAAGATGCAAGTAGATCTAATAGAGCTGGTGCCAAAGAAGATGTTGGCAGGAAAAGAGAACGGACAAAAGAAGAAGATAGATCAAGACATAAACGTGGAAGTGACTCAAGCAGGCACAAGAAAAGAAGGTCCTTGTCCAGCAGCAGTAGAGGCAGAAAGAGTAAGGATAACTCCAGTGATCATGGTAATGAATCAAGTGATGAAACATCAGACAGTTCTAAGAGGTTCGCCATTGAGATCTAATGATTATTTTTTCCTTTTTGCCCTTAAATTGAGCTATTTAGCTTCTAGTTTTCTGTTGTGTACTACAGGAAGTCACGTTCAAGAAAACGGTCATCACCTTCTCCTGTCAAGTCTAGAAGAAGGTAACACGTAACGGTACTTGATCACTTCTATTCATGCTTTGCATCTTCTTTTTATGCAGACTGAGCCCTTGTCAGGTTTGATCTGTTCTATTGTTTGCAGATATTGTCATGATAATTAATAGGAACTTAAATTAAAGAAACATCTTGACCTTTTTCAAATGCTACCGAGTACTGAACTAACTTTCATGGTTTATTATCGCCCCATGTAGCACCTTGTTCATGTTCTGTTCCATTTGAATTGTACTGCTGATTATTACCTTTTCTGCCTGCAAGTTCCTTTGTGATTTTAGTGGATGATTTACCCAAGTATGGTTTTTTAGTTTAAAATTTGTTCCTTGTGTTGTCAAATTATGTGTTTGCTACTTTCCTATACGAATATTATAGTTTGGTTGTGACTATTGGAAATATTAAGTTTTATCCTTCTTCAAGTGATCTATGTTTGTTCCTTTTTATGTTATATCTCAACTCCTTTTATAGCTACACCGATCTTTATTATTAATTATTATTTCACATCTGACTTCAGTTTGCATTCTCTAATGCAAATTAGATGGAAATTTTGACAACATCAGTAGTGGTGCTATGTTGAATGTTCCGGAGCTCTTGTTCTTCTATATGATTTATTCAATAAGAAGAATCGGTTGTCACTTTCTAATTTAACCCTCTTTCCTAAGGGTTTCGTTATTTTCAGTTTCTTAGGTATTTCTTGAAGGTATTCGGTTTCCATTTATCACAAAAAGAAAACAATAACATTAACTGGCTGGTCATTATCGAGTTTGACTCTGCACGAGGCTGAGCATTTTTCTCGATTATATATGTTTTAACTTACCAAATCAGTATGATGTATGTTTTGATTTCTAGACAAGTTTCGCGGTCACCACATAGCAAGCATTCTCAGCACAGGCATTCTCCCTACTCTTCTTCTGAGACTACCAGGTATGTTACCACACATTCCGTAGAATTAGATTAAGTGTTTATGAGACATACACAACCATCATCAATCCAAACTCAGGTGAAAGTGTTGGAGGTCCGAATCTCTAACTTTTTACGTTTCTCTACTTTGTTTATTTTACAAAACTTCTTTTTTTGCAGGGGAAGGAGGTCGAGGTCGAGATCACCTGTTCGGCGATAAAGATGCTTCGAACAAAGAGTTTCATTTCATTTATACAGGTTGACGAGCAGCAGCTAAAGAAATTTCTGCTCCATGATATCTGGAACACCTCTTGAAATCTGCAAGTCACTAATTATCCAGCTACAAGTGAGATGCATGATGAAGAGGAAACCGAGATAGGTATGCCGTATGATAGGTATATTTCAATGATTACTCTATCCCGATGCTCATGATTCGGTATTCGAACCCGTGATTTGGCGCTTTCGCATGAAATATTTCGTGCACATATATTTCCTTCTCTTTCCGTCGCCTAGTTTTTGATTTAATCTTTCCCCAGTTTGTGTTAGCCATAGGCATGCAATGTGATTTCCTTGTAACTTTTGTACCATTTCATCTAATTTCAGTTGGCAGCCTGTAGTTTAGCTTTCTAATAACCTTCAACCTGAATTTTATTTATATAAACACAAAACCTGTTTAAAAACTTCGAATTCAGGAGTTGAATTTCGGTTTGAACCGATTAAAGCTCGAGTTTAATTGTTTGATAAAAATCAAGCTCATTTGGTTAGATTTGATTAGGACCATTTATTCGTTAGAAGATCAGACGGTCGTCGAAGGAGATCATTGCAATAGAATGCCGAACTTTTTTATGTACTTTATTTGATTTTTGAACGAGTTTCATGGAAAATCAATTTGAAAAAAAGAGAGGAGTAAGATATAAATGTTTTTGTAAATGATGATTGTTGAGTGGCACCATTAACCAACAATGACGAAGGTGATGATTTTTTTAAGAACAAAAAAAAAAAAGAAGTTTGATTCCTTTTTATACTTAAAATTTTGATTTTTTTAAATCTTACCAAATGTGTTTTTTAATATTTTGTTGTTGAAATTTTTTATGGGTAAATTGTATCATTTATTACTAGACTGTTTTCTCTTTTATTTTGGTCACCACAGTTTAGATTTTGAATTTAATTACTTAACTTTTAAATTATTTTTAATTTAATCATTTTGATTTTTTATTTTATTTTTATAATTGTTTATTAATAAAATAATAATAATTAATGTCATATCACCAAATTTTTAATAAAATAAATTAGAACGGTTAAAATAAGAGCAATTTGAAAGTTAAACAGTCAAATGAAAAACTTTTAAACTTTAGTATCAAAATAAGAACAAGAAGATAGTTTCTGGATAAATGATGTAATTTATCCATAAAAAATATAAAATAAAAATTAAAAGTATGGTCTTGAAAAAATTGAAAATTTACATACTAAAATGAATTAAAATTGATAGTTTAAGTAATAAATATCTTACTCTATAAATTTTAATGACTAATAATGTAATTTTCCCTTGTTTATATGGAATCTTTTTTTTTTGGTACACATGGAAAATATGAAACTAAAATTTTAACTCGCTCGCTCCGTTCTTGTCAGCTCCCAACATCGCTTTGATTTCAATTGGAGGCGATTATAAATGGGAGGAATCTTCCTCTTGAATGAGCGCAAGGTTCGTCAGTTTATCAGCGCATTTGTTTCCTTCTCGCCAAATATGTCGTACTTCAACCACCCATCCTTCCTTTATGATTTCTAAACAGTCGTTGACCAGATCAAATTCTCGAAAATATTACATTCTTTCTCCATTAAAGATGTGTAACCCTCTCAGACCGATGTGGATAACCCGATCCAATCTAGAGTGTCACATTAGGGCCACCGGAGCGACCCACTGTAAAAAATAGCGAAAAATTTAAAACTTTTATTAAAACATGTAACTTATATAATGATTTATCAGTATGTAGAAATAAAACAGATTTTCAGACTCGTATATAAAACAAAAGACAATTACATGCCCCCTAATCACATGTACCATTCTCTGCAAACAGCACCAGAAGAACTCCCTTACTGAAGTCGATAGCTGCACTTGTACAATTCTTTTAGCCTGAAAAGATGAGTAACAGAGTGAGCTTTGGAAAGATCAGTAATACAGAACTACCAGATGATGCTGATGAACGTGCAGATACAGATAAATATATATTTCCTTATTGTTTCCGAACATTTACAGATTTTTATGCTAGGCAGAGATCCTACTGATATTTCATGTGGTAACGGACAATGAGCTTTCAGTTCAGAAAAATATTTCATATGACTGAGTTCAGGAGATCGTAATAGATTATCTAGTGTGTTCCCAAAAACCATGTAACTTTTCAGATCTTTTTAAAACATATATATATATATATACCCCCATCCCAACACAACATATTGTGTAGGTTCCCCAGAACCATATACCCAACCCACACAACTTGTAAGGCCCTGAGCAAAAGCCGAGGAACCTGCGGAAATAATTCCTTCAACAATACCCCCCAATTAAAACATTTTTCCGTCAGTAAACGGAGATATCAGAAATCAAAATAGAATTCAGAACATATATTAGAACAGAATCCAGATCAGAAATCAGAACAGAATTCAAGTCATGTATCATAATAGAATTCAAGTCAGAAATCAGATAAAATATTTATATGTTTAGGGAACACACCAGAGTTTACAGATATTATTCAGAGGTACTGGATAATCTTATCAGGCAAAAGAAACAATGATCTTTCATATACGATAGAATGTCAGAATTTAGAATCACTATTGGATTAGTTCAATAATTGACATAATCATCAGTTATTCATAATGTGATTTATCAGGATCATATCTTATTCAGACATTTTTCAGAAGCTTAACAAATCATAAGAGTATTTCGAATCCTTTACAATCTTTGTCGACTTATTAGATTATCGAACAACTCCAGATGAATAACTCTTAGAACTAATGCTTATCGACTGGTCAATTCATTGTCCTCACAGGTATTTACATTTTAATACCACAAATTCTAGTCCATATATAATCTTCGGAATCATCGCTGAATAAATCTTTCAATGTCTTTATTCCATGTTCACGCTTCCATTGTATCATGAAATACTGACGTGCTTGATTTGTAGTTCATCTTCCATAAGGACAGTACATCTTATAAACTCATTAGAATTTTCAGACTTATCCAATTCACTTATTTAATCCTCAGTCATTGAGGTTACTTAGCTTATTTAGTAGTCAAGTCTATTCCTGTTACTTTGGGGTTTTCCAGAGTAATTCAGACGTTTTTGAATTTCGGATACATATTGTACTTTTGTTCAGTTCAATTCGGTCTTTGTGGTTGATTTGTCGAACAAGTATCCAATTCTTAGTGCTAAATGCGATCTAGAGTTGAGCTGAATACTTCCAAAATTATCATCGATCCAAACTTGAGTAGATAAACACGCATTCAAGTAATATTTATGTCATTCAGGTACTGACATATCATTAAGGTTGATCGGCTCACTTAAGTTGTGTTCCATAACTTTTAAAGGCAGTCCAACACCTATGCTTATTTGGATTCCTTAATTAATCCAAGACATTTACTTAATATAGGCCATAAGGGTATTTTGGTAATTTTGGTGTTCAGTTTTATTCCATTCATTTCAGAGCTCGAGGATATCCAATCATTCCTGAGTTTGGTGGTATTTTTGGGTCATTTCTATTATAAGGGTATTTTGGTCATTTTATAGATTCAGTGTATTTTAATCATTTTCTTCCGTCTGATCTTACTATTAAATTCAATCTTATTATTTATTTCAGTCCTTTCGAACAATTCTGACAACAGAATACCCCGATAAATTATTCTTCAAGTATTTACTCATTACTCGGATATTTTCGGGTCAAGTGCCTTCTCAGAATTTACAAACGAAATATCATGAATTTTTCTTTACAAAGACATGATCTTAATAATTAAATTCGTACTTAATCGAGTTAAGTACAAATCCTCAAAGTACTTTCTCATTCAGAGTCAACTCAGACTATTTTACCTCTCAAGGGCATTTTCATAATTTCTTAACCAAATAATTTCGATATTAGCTCTTAACGAAAATAATATAATATAGAGATCTTATGATTAATTGCTTCCTCGAACATTCTTTGATCTTGAAATGATTCCTTAAAAGACTTCTAGTATCTAGCATAAACCCTCTTGGGGTTAAAAACCGGTTATCCATAATTTCCAAGTAAAACTAACATTTCTTATGCACATCAATAGTTTTATCAGATCAATAATTCTTTTCAGATTATTGATCCACTTCCAGGGACAATACTTGTCATTTTCCAACATAAGGTTAATTTCGTAATTTTACCTAATCGAAATATTATCATAATTTATCATCTAAGTACCTTTAATGAGATAAATTATAATCTACATATTCATGGCTGATTCTTTTATCACTTAAATCTACATATCCATGGCTGATTCTTTTATCACTTAATTCCAGAACTTGTAATTTAATTTCAACTGTCCTCCAATTTCTTATAATAGTCATCTGAGCCATATTCAGTTACCTACTTGTTACCGTATTCATATCAAGTGTAGATCTTCATTAATTACACATATGAAACAAAACATTTCCATTCATGCATTTATCAATATCAACATGTTCTATAAAACATAAAGAGATAGTAAAGTATTACCTCGATTTTTGTGCAATACTGATCGACCATTAAATTCTATTCGAACGCCCTCGATCTTAAAATCATCTTCCAATATTTCCTCGGATCCATATCAACAGAAATTACATCAAAAACGAAGCTTAATTCTGAAAAACGGATCGAACCGGATGATAAATCAGTGAAAAATAGCTTACTAGGTTTGAATTTGGCGAAACGGACTTCGGATTCGGATTCAGGACGTCGAAAGCATAAAATATGACTTTTCACAAATTTAGAATTTTCGGTCAAAATCAAAGTCAACGGGTTTGACTGGAAATTTTGAGGCCTTCGGGATTCAAATTTCGAAAAACGGACTGCGGAATCGGATTTGGAACTTCGAAAAATGTCAGGATAGGTATACTCGGTCAAAGTCAAAGGTCGTTTGATGCCCGGACAAAGCCTGTCAATTTTTTGGTCAACACCGGTCAACGGTTAACGGGTCAACGGGTCGAGTTGGGTAAACGGGTCAGGTCGGGTTAGAACCAGTCAAACCGGTCAAAACAGCTCCAAAACCGGTCAAACCGATCATTTTTCCTTTCCCACGCGCAGTGGAGACGCGTGGGGGCGGGCGAACAGTGCTACGATGTCAGAAAATTCCCGGAAAAATTCTTAAAAATTATTTTAAGCGATTTCAAGGCACTTACAAAGCTCGGTTCACAATTTTGAATGGTGGAGTGCTCGATTTCAACGAATCGAAAACTTTGATTGTTTCATCTCCTCACGCGCCGCCGTCGACGGAGACCAAGGATGACACCAGCAGACTCGGAACGATGCAAGGAGCACGATGGTGCGGGAGGTGTCGTAAACGGATTCTCGGATCGTCGTGAATCGACGAAAA